TGTTATCAAATCTAGTGGGGTCAGGACCCCACCGAACACTACAGAAACCTAGCACTGTGTCCATAACTGAAAAAACATGAGGTCTCAAACATTTCTCGTTGATTTCTAAATATCTGACAAAGATAAACTGTTGGATACCAAGGCTAAAATAATAACTTGATTTCAGTGAAGTGTGGCATATATTTCCATAGGTTGATGATCATATTTATATCTGAATTATTTCCCTAACATCGTAGAAAGTGCATGATATATCATCACATTTTGTAACCTTGTAGAAAAAGTAATTACTAACTTGCGATACCTCCTGAATAACTGATGTCTTGAAGAGGGTGAGAGTGAGTCCACTTGATACTGCGGCCACTGCTTGGCCTATTGTACCAGCTCCAGATGATGATGATTGTGGACCAATCGGTGGAATATAAATTGGCACAGGAAACTGAAGTACTCAGAGAAAACCTGCCCCAGTGCCACTTTGTCCACCACAAATCTCACATGACCTGAACCGGGCTTGAACCCGGGCCACCGCAGTGTGAAGTTGGCGACTAACTGCCTGAGCTATGGCATGACCTGAAGACAACCTGATTGGCTGTGGACTCAGCACCATGTCCAGTTAATGCTAACTTCTATGGGGGGGGGGGATTCTGTCAAAATGCTGGGGAACCCACAAGTCCCTCTGCTGGTTCCATTATGTGGATGACAACTTCATCCTCTGGCCCTGTGGATGGGAGAAGCAGAATGGCTTCCTTGACCTCCTGAACAGTGTCCATTGGAACAGTCAGCACACCACAGAGATGACAAGAGATGCCCATCTTTCCTTCCTGCATAATGATACATAACCGAGAACTAATGTCTCTTTGGATTATAAGGCACACTGCAATCCCACTCATACCAATTTTCACTTAAAACTCCAGGACCCACCACCAACCATCCAACAAGAAAACTGTTTTTTCCACCTTGGCAGAGTAGTTCAGAACTCTCTGCAACTAGGACAGCCTTCACAATGGGGTGGCATTTGTCAAGCTCATATTCCAGCAGATTCACAGGGCTCTCAGCACTGATCCTGACTTGGTTCCTTTCCTGCCCTAGTAGGATGCCATCCTGGCACATCAATTCATTTGGCCTTCTGGTAAGAAGAATCTGCAGCTTCCTGCAGCTGGGCAAGGATGACTCGGGTCAAGACACTCAGGAGGGCACTAGGCAGCATCCTCTGTGAATGTGGTCAGGTCTACACAGGACAGACAACCCACTCAACTGACACCAAGGTTAAGTCCGGGCACACAGCATCCCCTCCAACATGTCATCAGGAGCACAACAATTAAGACCATGCTTTATCCCAAACAAATGAATATACATGAAGCCTCCATTGTGGGATTCTTGTAATGGGGTTCCCAAGGCCACCAGGGCCGTTCTCAGTTTCTCTGCTGCCTCTTGCCCTTGTTATCCCACCTGGCCTCTCACCTAGACATATGTATTACCTCTTTCTTGACTTCTTCCATTTCATTTGGTAAATTGACAATCCTTTTAATTGCCAAACTGAGTTACTTTTTTTCTTGGTTTCTCTCAGGGCCCCCTTGCAGACAATGGCCAAGCTCACACATTAGCTCTCTCACAGTTCCCATCTGATCTACATCAGGCCTGTAGAGTTCTGTCTTCTGAGATATAATGGTGTAGTCCACTGAAAGTCAACTGATGTCCTGGAGGAACATGTTGTCTTCAAGGTTGAAAGGCCAAGCAAGAAACCACCATGAAGCAGTCAGCAGGCAAACAGAACACACACCATTATATCCAGAATAAAGTAACATTGTGAGAACTTCAAAACCTATATACATGCTGTCAGCTCTGCTTGCTGGTCTCTTGCCTGAATTGCTTTCCGTGCTGAAAACAGAGGCAAAATGTTCCTCCTAAATGTCACTGGACTTCACTAAACTACACAGCACAACTATTCAAAAGACTGTTACTCTTCACAGTCACAGCTAAGAGAACTTAAAATTCAAGTGATGGCTTTATATCTATCAAGTGGCTTAATTACATACAGTATGTTTCCTAATTGAGGCACATTGTATGATAATAGTACATGCAGTACTTAATTTGAGCAGCCATGATACTGAAATTTTTCTTTCCATATCTCCATATAATTAATTATTTTTCTGAACTCTTGATACAAAACTTTCTCTGAACAAAACTTTGGCTTTCATGACATCCATATAAGCACAATTCAGTCTCTAGGTATCAGAGTGACAGGTCCTGAGTGACAGCCTTCTTTATGGCTCATACTTCACTGGTGAGGCAACAACACATCCTGCCAAATGAACCTATTATTTTTCGTAGAACCTGAAAGAAAGCTCACAAAAATAACAGGATCCAATGATACAGTGTCCTGGTATCCACATGTCCACACTGCTCACAGCAGAACAAAACCCTCTCCTAAGAGACATTACCATTTTAATGTAATTTCTGTACAAATTGTTAGAAATATCCAGGAAATGTAGTATTTGTAACAAAAATTCATATCACAAAGATTATCAAATAATTTTATTATGACTAAGAATGATCCAGGCATTAAACTTATGATTCTGAGATTCAAAATGGAATTTTACAGCACCAGAAGATATGCTGTGGATAAAAAGAACTCTGTCAGAATTCTCAACTGTTAAACAAAGAATGCCATGCCTTCCTCTTGCTTGTCTTACTTTCCAACTCCTGAAGGTGAGGGTAGCATATTCCTCCCAAATGGTGGTACACTTCTACTTGACTACGCAGCATTATGTCCCACCAGGCGCTACTCTTCATACTCACAGTTGTGAGAGCCTCAAACCCAATAGTGAATGATACAACAACAAAAATCAGGTCCAACAAATCTGTTGGTGATCCAGAAGTAGTAAAGCTGTGTCACAAGTTCATCCACTTTATATGAGGTATATCCACAAAATAAGTTCCGTCTGCAACTATTGCCGTTGCAGCACTGCGGTCACTAATGGTGCATAGGCGTGCAGTTTGTTGGTCCTTTTGGATGGCATGAACGCCATCTGCAGATAATCCAACCATGTTTACACATTGCGTTGTGTGTTTACAATGTTCAAGAATATAAGAAGTCTGCTGCATGTGAAAAGCAGTCTGTAATCCATTCCTTGAATGCAAGAAACATGAAACTGGTTGACATTCATCGTCAACTTTGTGAGGTGTATGGAGAACACGCCATGAGTGATTCAATGTTAAGGAGATGGGTGAGACACTTTTATGAAGGATGTGAAAATATGCATGATGATCCGTGGAGCAGCCGATCATCTGTGGTTAATGAAGATTTGGTGCATGCAGTGAAGAAGAAGATTCAAGAGAACACACGATTCACCATTTCATTGCTTTCCTTGCATTTTCCACAAATTTCACGACCACTTCTTCATGAAATTTTGTCTGCTGAACTTTGTTTTTGGAAACTGTATTCACGCTGGTTGCCGAAGATGCTTATGGATGAACACAAAATGAAATGGCAGACCAGTGCATTGACCTTTCTGATATGATACAGTGAGCAAAGCAATGACTTCTTGAGCTGCATATTCACAGGGGATGAGATACATGTGTTGCACGTAACCCCTGACTTGAAGCAGCAGTCCATGGAATACAGGCACACATCATCATCAATAAAGAAAAAGTTCAAACAGACCATTTCAAGTTGCAAGATCATGTGCACAGTGTTTTGGAACAGAAGAAGTGTTCTGCTTGTGGAATTCTTGCATCAAGGCTCAACAATCAATGTAAGTGTCTACTGCGACACACTTAGGAAACTGCATTGTGTGATCCAGAACAAGCAAAGTAGCATGGTTAGTGGGGGGGGGTTGATGTTTAATGGCATTGCCCGCCCACACACTGCCACAGCAATTCAAAATATCATCGTGACATTTCACTAGGAACAATTCGATCCTACCCTCCCTACAGCCCAGACTTAGCACCAAGTGATTTTCATGTGTTCCTGCAACTGAAAACGTTTTTTGGTGACCAGCAGTTCCACAACAACGAGGTCAAAGAAGCCATTAACACATGGTTTGCATCGCAGGAAGCATCATTCTACAATGCAGGGATGCAAAAACTGGTGCCCTGCTATGACAAGTGCCTCAACAATGGTGGAAACTATGTCAAAAAGTAGCGTATGGTATGTACATCAAACAGCAATATAAATGGTTTGGAAATAAACTGTTTTTTTAATAGCCCATTGGAACTTGTTGTTGTTGTTGTTGTTGTTGTTGTTGGAGAGTGGCTGACTGCCCATGTACTTAGACCAGATATTGGTCCACTGTACATCCCCCTGTGATATTCTACCAGTCTCTATACTCTACCGGTAATGGTGCGTGCCATCAGTCCCGACCCAGCCAGTGAGTTCAGCCTCCACTGGCTCAGCGGTATCTCGATGCTTCCCCAATCTACCAGAGGTGTTAGAGACTACTGTTGGGCGGGAAAGTCCTGAATTTGGCTCAGAGGTCCCCTTGATACATGAGGTTCTTTTACATGCCGTAAAGCTACGACACGGGACCCACGGCTTAAAGTCCCACCCAGAGGACTTGTTCCCTGAATTTTTCCGCCCTTAAAAATTCCACGACCTCTGCCGGGTTTGAACCCGCGTACCTTGAGTCACGAGGTGGGAACGTTACCCCTAGACTACGGAGGCCGCCCATTGGAACTTACTTTCTGGATAACCTACATACATTTCTGAATCATGTTATTACATGTTCATTTTAATTTCCTTATGCGGTAGTGTAGTTAGTTGAGGCGCTATGCTACAAGCCAGAAGGTTGCAGGTTTGAGTCCGACAAGGTTGAATTTTTCGATTGACCTAACCCTTCTAGCCACACTATGACCCTGGGGTCGACTTAGCCTCTAACAGAAATGAGTACCAGGAATCGTCCTGGGGAGTAATGCGCGGCCGGCATGTAAAGCTGACAACCTTACCGCCATCTTTGAGCTGACTGTCTAGATAATGTGGGACCTTCAACATCTCACAACCCTATGGGTCTTCATGGCCTGTTATAGGGATAGCTTTACTTTTTACTTTGAATATCATTTAATCAAAATTCTGAATTTTGAACTGATTTTGAGCATTTAATAAATTACTGATTTAACATGAACTGCAGACCATGAAAGGTAAAAAAAAAAAAATTACTTAGTAAGTGGCACCAAGGGAGTAATAAATTCGCTGTCATGCAGAAGTGATCTCCTTAACATGTTAAACACTTGAGTTACCTGTTCCTTCAGATCCACTAAAGCCAAGTCTCTGGAACATGTTATGTCCTCATCCTTGTCTAACCTTTTTGTTATTGCTATACACAGACGCGCCTGCAGCTTTTGTCCTGGTCATGATTTAGAATTTCCTTGTATTCCACTACCATCTAGTGGAGGAAATAACTCCTACATGAATGAACACAGAAAAAGGTTGCACAGTGTGACTGGCGATAGTACAAGCATACCCTTGTGCTGCAAATAATTCATTCGTGCTTTCACCAAACTTTCAGCATTTCATGATGAACATTAACAATTCATTCAACATATATGGATAGAGAAGTGATAAATTCACCGTTGCAGTAGAGACACTGCCTTGAGTTGCCTTGAGTGTAGTGTGCTTGACAAGTGCACTAAAGGCATGTCTAGAAGTTCTGGACATTTTTGTGTATGACTGCCGCTATTCTCAAACAGCAGAACACATGCAGCTGGCTACAGAAAACACATCTGGTTCATCAAGCGCTCATGTGTGCCCAAGAGGAGTTGACACTGTCACTGCAACATAAGTAGGAATCATGAGGATAGACAAAGCATTTGTCTTTCCTCAAAATGTATATCAGGGGTCTTTCATGTACCCTCTTCTGTTCCTGTCCCCTCCCTCCTCCTCCTCCTCCTCTTCCAAGTCATCCTCTGTATCTGAGTGCACAGTGTGCCACGTGAGACCTTCACCTATCGGCTTGTGTGGGGATGGCAGCAACACATGTCTCCATGTTCTTCCTCTCACTATTCCAAGAAACAGTCGCCAGTTCTTTCGCCGCCCAAAATTGTAAGGATTTATGTACACCTGAAAACATTTACACAGTGAGCCTAGACATGTGGAAGTCTGCCAGCTCTTAGTAACTGACTAAAAGGGGAAGCACAATAGACCACTGTAGGTTGCAGTGCAACGGCCAAGAAGGCCCACCCCTTATACATTCATTCATTCATTAGCAACTGACTAGCCTCAGTCTGCCAATATATATACTCAGGGATCATTACGAAAATCACACTGGTCTGTAAACATTACTGGGCTTTTGACTGTGGTCTGCTATATTGTGACACAACATAATCATCTTCATGGTCAAAGTGAATGAGCTGGGAGCCTAGGTAGGGTAACATGGAGGGTGGAAGAGGGGCACTGTCCAGGAAACTAGGAACACTGGAACTGAATCATGAGAACCTTCCAGTATGCATTAACTGAATGGTGATGGTTGGTGGACACACAGAAACAAGCGGAGAGAACAGGAGAGGAAAGCGACACCTGTCAGGACCAAGAGGAACAACAAAACATAACTGTAATAACTTTCCCTTCTCCGCTTACGCTTTAGTTAAGGTTCAGGTGTGGTGTCTATGTGATTTACATTTCAGGTACAGGGTGGGGCACAGAAACTTCCTTTTTGTGAAGACGTATTGTGAAGGGAGGGGAGGTCGCAGAAAAGTGGGGATAGGCTCAGAAAACGCAGCAGTTGCGGAAGTTTCTGTCTAACACCCCTCAGTAGGAAACGAGGTGGACAAGTGAGCAGCGTGCGTTTGCTGTCGAAGCCTATTTTTCGAACAACCATTCCTATGTGGCGGTGTAGCGTGCATTCCATACTCACTTCAGAATTAAGCCCAGAGGTCCAGTTCCCAACTGGAAATCAATTGTTTTGTGGGCAGAGACCTTTAGGACAACCAGGAGTGTGGTGAAAAAATCATTAGGGCCACAATGGACTGTTACGACGCCAGAAAATGTGGAGGCAGTTTGACAGTCGATTTTCAGATCTTTTTCGAACCAGCTCTTGAAGAAATGCATCTAAGAAATGTCTGGTTCCAACAGGATGGTGCCACGGCCCACACAGCCCAAGCTTCATTAATAGTTTTGAGGGCAAAGTTTCCCGGACGGCTCATCTCGCTTCGAGGTGACATCCCGTGGGCAGCGCACTCACCTGATGTAACGCCCTGTGATGTTTTTTATGGGGATACATCAAGGCAGACGTTTTTAAACATCGCCCCCACAAACTTGCTTCAGCTGAAGAATGCTATTCGGCACGAAGTAGCCCAAATTCCGGTGCACATGATGGAACGTGCAGAGGGGAACTTCAGAAAACTGTTGCATCAGTGCATAGAGACCGGTGGCCACCACCTTCAAGATATTTTGTTTCAAAGTTCATGATTTAAAACTTTAAAGTATGTTCTTTCATTAGCTAAACATAAATTTTGTTTATCAGAAATAAATTTTCTTTTATTCGCCTTCAAAAAAAGGAAGTTTCTGCGCCCCACTTTGTATTTATTTATTACAGTAACACTCATCTTAAATGGAATCTCAAGGGTTGAGAACGTTTTTTGGTTGAAGCCAGGTTTCTGTTTAATCAAGGTATGCTATAATAATTAAAACAAGATATGTACATATGAGACAAAATAAAACATCATACTCATTAATTTATTCACACTATAATCACTGAACACATGCAAACATTACAATGAACAGAAGAAAAATGCAGTACACAGTTTTTATAATTTTACCAGAACACTCTGTACATCTTCATAAGTACTAAGTGATAGTTGGACAAAGTGTATCATGAGTTAACTCCAGTTTTTGTATATTTTTGGAAACATTTTTAATAATGGAAAAGTGGCTTTGAACAGGGACTTTGAAAAGAAAAGCAAACAAAACAGGTGATGCTAAGCCTAATTGTGATACACGTGTTGTAACAGTGAGTAAATGTGATACTATTAAAGTCGAAGAAGCAAGCAGTTTAAAGAAAAAATACAGTAGGAAATATAATTCATATTTTGAATTTGGGTTTACTTAGTGTGGTGATGAAAGTGAACAGAAACCTCAATGTACTTTGTGTTTTGAAGAGTTGTTGAACGAGTGTATGCAACCTGCGAAACTCTTGACATTTAGAAACTAAATATTGTGATGTGAAAGATAAGCCAACTGAATTTTTTCAGCAATGCTTAGGGACATTAAATCATAGTCAAAATACAGTTTCGGTCATGGGTTCAATTAACAACAAGGCACTGGAAGCATCCTACCTCTTAAGTTTACACAGAGCCTAAACAGGAAAAACTCATTCTATTGGGGAAAATATGGCAAGAGACGTAGAATCTCAGTCAATTGAAAGAGTTAAGAAAAGTCCTTATTATACGTTACAAATAGACAAGACTACTGATGTTGCAAATGATGCACAGTTAATATGCTATGTAAGATATGCGCATGATAACAACATTCATGACAATATACTGTTTTGTAGAACTTTGTCAACCCGAACAACTGGAGATGAAATATTTCACACTCTCAATAATTACATAAGAGACAAAGGGATCCAGTGGGAAAAATGTGTGGGCGGGCTTCTGTTTGGATGGAGCTCACGCCCTTACAGGCAGGCATAGTGGGGTTGTTTCTGGGAAAAATGTGTGGGCTGTCTGGACGGAGCTCGCGCCTTTACAGGCAGGCATAGTGGGGTTGTTTCTAAGGTCAAGGAAGTAGCTCCAGAAATAAATTGGGTGCATTCTTTCATATATAGGGAAGCTTTGGCCTCCAAAGGAAAGCCACCAGAACTTAAAACTGTGCTAGATAACGCTGTAAAGCTAGTTAATTTTATTAAGGCTCAACCATTAAATAACAGCCTATTTTCAGTACTCTGCAATGAAAAGGGCAGTGAATATGCACAACTTTTACTTCATTCTAAAATCTGCTGGTTTTCCAGGGGCAAAGTACTAACATTATTCCAATTAAGGCATGAAATTTTATTGTTTTTAAAGGAAATTAATTCTGATTTTGCATCACTTCTTGTTGACGAAGCATGGTTATTACCACTATCCTATCTTTCAGATATTTTTCATAAATTAAATGAACTGTAACCGTCCATTCTGACTGGAGGAGTGTTGTGTGAAAATTAAATTTTGTATTAAGTTAAGATTAACAATATTACAAACAAAGAGATCCGGCAGATACACGCGGAAGGGACATAGTTCAAGTTTTGCTATGTGAACAGGAAGTAACATCTGGTACTTTCCTAGAATTCTGGCAGTTTCAGCAACGTCGGAAAGGCTTTGAGAAAATGAGAGCTGACAGCTTGGGACAGCGATAACTTAGAAGTGGGACGGCCGGAGCCTCACACCCTGACCGTAATGCATCAAGGGGCTGTCATCCTTAGCGTCAGGTCAGCATCTGCCAGAATCACATAGCAGAGCAACATGATTGGGAATTCAAAATTTAGGGAACCTCCTAGTCTGAAAAATTAACCAATGGCAGAAGTGGAGGAGTGGATTTCTCTTGGAGTCTGGGGTTCGTGGACCTCAGAATTCAGAGAGAGGGCATTCCACCTTGGAGAGTCTTGACACTACTTTCGGCAAAGTCGGACACTAAATTTACCACTACGGCCCTTCCGTAGAATAGTATAAGTACAGTACAAAGCAACAGTAGTAAGAAATTCAGTTGTATTCAGAAAGCCGGAAGGTATTAAAGGACTACCAAGTGCAACCGTCGAAAGGTGGGTGATTGTAGTGAAGTGTTCTTCCTGCCCTGTCCGAGCCAGACCCTTATAAGACCCTGGGATAGGAACCCAGCTCTACTGATTAAAGTAAAGAACCCAAAGAAGTGAGCGGTGGTGGAGTGGCGCACAACGAAAAGGGCACAAAGGAAGTGAGCGGTTACAGAACCAAATCTCTCCCTTTATGGAAATCCTTTAACTGCTCTTGATGCCTACGACAAAATAAAGGGATTCGAGAAAAAACTGGTGTTATGGATTAGTTATGTAAAAGGAACACAATTTGCACCTATTGCACTTGACTCCTCAGGAAAATTTTTTAATTAATTCCTGGTACTCATTTCCGTTATGAGACTGAGTCATCTCCAGGGCCATGGTGTGGCTGGAAGAATTAGGTCAATTGAAAAAAATCCAATGACCTCATCGGGACAACAAGCTCAACAATCTCATTGTAGTAAGTAAGTAGTAACATAATTATATATTCCTTATTTGTGTAACAAAGATTAAAACTTTGCTCAATGATAATTCACTTTTAATAGTTTACTTCCAATTTAATTATGTTTCCATATGTATTCAGAACATGCTTTTAGATTTATTATGTTATAAATGGCACAGTACATCCCAATTGTTGGTAATACCACACATGTTTAAAAAATAGGCCTACATAACTTAGTGGTCTGTAGAATTTTTTAAGACAGTTTACTGCTCCTTAGGCTTCAAAGGATTGAGAAACATTGAGTTAGAAAAAGCAAAATTCTGTAAAATGTATAGGATGCCTAAAATTCTTCTAAACGATGCACTCTGAAAGACTGGAACATTTCTGCATAAAAGCTTATTTTGATTTTCATTTCCAGGTTAGACATTTTCTGTTTAATCCAGGATATTTAATATCTTTTTCAGCCCCAAAGTCATGGGACCTGAAAATATTTCCATATAAGACAAATTCCGTTTGATAAAGGGTCCGTTTAAAGTAGGTTTTACTGTCTTACTTATGGATATGTTTGATTAACTTTCCTGAGTGCTTATGTTTTGAAGTCATATCTGATTAGGTATATTTCATTATTTCTGCCTCTTTCCTTGAGATCTTATTTATTTTAAAGACCTGTCAGAAGAAAATGTTTGTCTTTGGAAATGTGAGAAAAATGAAAACATTTGGTTTACTCCTTTAGAGCCCTAAGTTTTGTGATGTGTACTAAACATTTGGTTGGTCAGATTTCCAATGAACATTTCACTGTAAAGATTATGGAACTTTTACACCAATATGAAGTTCCGATTATTCACATGAAAGGGGGCTGAATTATATTCAAGTATTTGTATTGGTGTGATTAATGTTAAATCTACTTCAAACCAGACATCTAACAGAACTACCCATTCATGATTTTTGTTTTATATAAAATTTAATAGATGTAAATAAATTACTACAAAAGTCTGTGATAGTCTGTGATAGCTAGAAGGTAAAAACAAACAATACTGGCACACATCAGAACATCACAAGGCCCTTTTCCTTATGCTGAGCTATTATTGTTTCAGATCTTAAAAGTGGGTCTCTTGTCACCATGGTATGGTACACCCTCAGACTGCAGATGGAAAAGACAGCCTCCAGATACAAAGGGTGGCTATGAATATATTGAATAAGCAGTTGTGAACACCCAAAAAGGGGTTGTCCTCTAGCCTGGTGGTGGGGTTTACAATTCATCATAAAAAGAAATCAACATGTCATGAAATGCTACACAGGTCCTTGGACTTGGAAGGCTCTAGTGAACATGATAATGAACTTCGGGGTTCTATGAAATGCAGGAAATTTGTTGACTCAGTGAGCAACCATTACCTTCAAGAGAACGACTGTGTTCCATGGAGTTAGTTCACTAATTATTTATACTGTGACATTTTGTTGCAGCTTTAAAGAATGTTTCTAAGATGGCACCCGAACTCAAGTCTAGTATAACCTTTATTTAGTGATGATAATGTAATATCAGGGGACACCGGTAATGTAGTTGGTTGAGGCAGTATGCTACAAGTCAGAAGTTCAGAGATTCAATTCCTGATGGGGTCACAAGATTTTTCAGTTGACCTAATCCTTCTAGCCACATTACAGCTACAGGTTAACTCAGCCTCTAACAGTAATGAGTTAAGGGCAGCCAGCACATAAGGCTGACCTCATTGCCATCTGTGAGACAATTGTCTAGAAAATGTGGGAGCCTTGACATCTCACACCCTATGGGTCTTCATGGTCTGTTACAGGGATAGCTTTATACTGTAATGTCAAAATATGTTAAGCAAAGAGACAGATATTATTATCAATATTTTTACATGGTATGTTTGTAGGTAGAATTATTCTGTTCAACTTAGTGAAACCTGATACTTTCCCATACATGAGATGGTAATACCAGTTTCTGGTGTGCATGTGACTATATGTTACTTACAGACACAGAAGGAGAGGGGGGAGGGGGAGGAGGAGGAGGAGGCATGTGGAAGAGAGAGGCGAGCAGCTCCTGTAACCTTCTCCCTAAGAATATATCATTCATATCAAGAAAATATTTGACAACCTCCATGAAATAAAAAGAAACCTGAAGACAAGTGTACAAAGACATAACAAAGAAATAAAAACAATACATGGTTGAATTCAAAGCAAATACCATGAAAGTCAACCGACAAAAAAGATAGTTATGTTGGTTTCAAACTTTATTCAAACACTTTTTTTGATAGTAATAAACTGGGTTCAATTGTGCCTGTCTATATATTAAGCAAACCTGAGACAAAATGAACCAACCAGAAGGTACTGACAAACTAACAACCAATCAGAAACAACTTGTGTATGAATACAATATAATGAGGGTACCTTATTCCTTTCTGCCAATCGTTTTGTTTCAGCCTTGTTAATGTTTGCTTCAATGCTTGTTTCCCCTCTGCTGATCAACCTTGCATGCCACAGTGTTAAAGCACCTAATGCAATTAACACTCCTAAAAGAAGAACAGCCTCACTTCACAAATGTTACACACGAGAACACTGCACACTATGCACATTACATGAATTTTGTTAACTACAGGACTTGTTTAACAGAAAATGTGAAAGATAAAATCCCCTTCATATGTATGTCCTCACTAGTTGAGGGCACAAACATGGATGCTGCAAAATGAAAATAACACAGAGGGAGAGAGGGTTTTATTCTCAACCAAACACATTTAAATGTGAAAGATATGCATGGAAATATATTGACTTAAGGCCTAGTACAATGTGGCAGAGAACAATAACTGAAGATGGCCAAGTAAGGCTGAAACATGTAGCAACTGATGTGTATTTTTAATGTCATTTTAAATTACAGGCAAACTGTGAGCAGTTTTAAGCTGCATTACAGATGGAGGTGAATGAATGAATGAATGAATGAATGAATGAATGAACACATACATATCAGTTTTGCTTCATTTCTGGATAAAATGACTGTGGAGTTAATTTGAAATATGGATACTACATACTATGTACAGTAAAACTTGGTTATAGCAACATCGGTTTCTGCAACACCTTGGCTATTGCGTCAAATATTCAATGGTACGAACTAATTCCTCATAAAGCAACTGTTTTTATACCTTGCTTAGTACGACATGCACAAATGCATCAACCTCGTATGTAACGTCATTTTCATTCCTGAATTTCTCTGATATGGACACTGAACGTAATTTAGAAAGTGTGTATTGGGCAAGTAACAGGAAACAGATGAAGATAACTGATTACTGTACTCGTATCTAGGTACAGTAAGGCACAACAATTGATGTAATCTACTGTAATTTGGTGAGTAGGCCTACCTTTAATATACAGTATTAGTGCGGTGTGTATTGTCAGTGAAAAGCGCTGTAATATGTCTTTGATATTACACATTTGGGCAATTCCACGTTAATGTTATGTTAGTCTGTACTTAACTACGTATTTCACTAAAAAATGCAAAATTTTAACTCGGTTTTTGGTAGATTTTTACGTGACTAACATAAGGCTACTGTGGAAGTGCCCATTTCGGTTACAACGACATTCGTTTATAACGACACTATTTTTAGGTCCCTTTGATGACGTTATAACCAAGTTCTACTGTATATACTAAACACTGGGTTGAAGGGGAATTATTAATGGTTATGCTGTCTTACAAAAATGGGTTGTGAGGGTGTGAATTGGACTTCACTAGCTAAAAATCATGTCCTGTTATGGAGTTTGGTATCAGCAGTGTTAACTCTTGGGTTATAGTACTACAGTCAATAACTTCGTGGACTGCGATTTTGTTGCACCATATTACAGGATACTCATATACACTTACACACATCCACATCCTCCCTCAAAATAGTCTCTGCTGGCCACTATGCAAGTCAGCCAATGTTGGTACAGCTGCTGGAAATGCTGCTAAAATGCGTAGGTCGTACCGAAAGTCATGAGCAACTTTTTTTTTGCACACAACCTGGGAACAGCAGATGAAAGAGAGTATGGTGGTAGGTGGAACCAGCTGTTGTGTTAACCTTGAGTGTCTTGTGACATCAATAGCTTGCATCACGTGACCAGTATCACTCCTAACAAAATGGCCAACAATATGTTGTTTCGCCAGCGTGCTGTCATCGAATTTCTTGTGAAAGAGGAAATCCCTCCTGCAGAAATTCACCAGAGACTTCAGCGTGCTTATGGAAGTGTGTGCATGGGTGCGAGCAGTGTTCGAAGATGGATGAAACACTTTAAAGATGGGAACACCAGCATCGAAGATGAGTCTCAGTGTGGTCGTCCTCAAACAGCCTCAACTGAACGCAACTAGGGAAGAGTGCATGAGATCATTCAAGATGACAGGTGTGTGACTGTGGACACAATAGCCCAAGAACTTGGAATAGGCCACAGTGCAGTACAGGAGATGATTAAAAGCTTGGGCTATAGGAAAGTTTGTGCTCGTTGGGTCCCGTGGTTATTGACCGAAGACCACAAAGCCATAACCTCAGACCTGCTGCAGAGATATCGACACGAAGGCGATGATTTTTGCTCTATATTGTGACAGGTGACGATAGCTCATTTCACCATTTCGAGCCTGAAACGAAACGGTAGAGTATGGAATGGCACCATTTGCATTCTCCATCAAAAAAAAAAAGGCAAAGACAGTGCCATCAGCTGCGAAGGTGATGGGCAGTCTTCTGGGATGCAGAGGGGTTTATTCTGGCCGAATTCCTCGAACCTGGGCAAACCATCAATGCTGTTCGTTATGTCCAGACGCTGCACAAGCTCCTTCATGCATTGCGCGGTAAATGTCTGGGACAAAACATCATCATCCTGCATGACACTTGGCCCCACACCGCTCGCCTCACATTGGAAGCAATTGCAAAGATGGGGTGGGAAGTTATTCCACACCCCTCCTATAGCCCTGATCTGGCACCCTCTGACTACAATCTTTTTGAATTTGTGAAGGATCAGCTGCGTGGACGTTTTGAGACAAGGGAGACAATTCAGAAAGCAGGGTGTCAGTGTCTTCGGATGGCTGGAACGGAATTTTACAGAAGGGGAATTTTCAAATTCCCAGAACACTGGGAGAAATGTGTACAAAGAAGTGGCGATTATGTGGAAAAATAAAGAAAGGTCTGTAGATTGAGGTGGTGTATTTGGTTTGTCAATAATAAAGCATGTTACTTTACAAAAAATGGTTGTTCATGACTTTCAGTACGACCCTCATATATTTGCAAGAAAGTCCTGTATGGCTTCCATTGTGACAGTGATGATCTCCTCACCCGACTGAAATTGACACCCATGTAGCTTTTCTTTCAAGCAGGGAAAGAAAAAGAAATCACATGGTGTGAGATCAGAAGAGTATGGAGGGTATGGAAAAACGGTGACCTGTTATTTTGCCTGCACCTCTTGGACAAGCACAGAGCGATGTGCACGGACGTTGTCATTTAGCAACAGCCAGTTCTTCCTGCGCCAAAGCTCATTATACTTACAATGAATTGAACTGCATATACAGTGAAGGATCTCCTTGTAATGGCACTTGTTTACAGAAGCTCCTTCTAGGATGAATTCCATGTGAACAATTCCAGATGAGTCAAAATACAGTTCAAGCATTGCCTTGCTTTTGACCTGTCCTGTTGTGGTTTCTTCTTTCTTGGTGATGAAGGCAATTTCCAGGTGGCCAATTGCTGCTTCAGTTGCGGATTGTACAGAAAACACCACGTTTCGTCTCCTGTTATGATCTGGTTGAGAAACATCCCATCTTTGTTAGCACTATCGATCAGGTCACTGCAAGTGCTCATGCAATTGTCACATTGGTCTTGCAGCAGGTTATGTGAAACACTGTGCTGGGTAACACGAGACATGTTCAGGTCAACAGAATTCTGTGGCAAGTATCATGGCTAATCTCTGCTGCTGTTGCAATTTTATCTATCATTTGGAAGTGGTTGGCACACACCAATGTTGCAACTTCTTGGATACTGAATTCAGTTTTGACCATTCCTGGCTGACCCGTATGCTCATCATCTTCCAAGCTCTCTCCCGTGTGCAAAACTTTTGTGCCACTTACACCCAGCATTACAGCCCAAGGCTTCTTCAGCATATGCTTGCTTGATCATCTGAAACATTCTGCTTGCAGATTTGCCTAATTTTTGGCAGAACTGGATGTTTTCCCGTTGCTCAAACTGCGATATTCTCAATTTTCACTGCTCACAGACAACTACCCCTCACAAGTGACTTTCTTTATGAATATACCACATGTACGCAACTGCTCCTTGCTGGGATGAGAGAGGAATGGAAATGGCACCATCTCGTGGCTCCAAGTATCCACTGTAGTGCATAACAGCACCACTATACGGCCAATCCACGATATTATTGACTGTACTATGTATATGTCTCCAGAACTAAGCATACACTCACATGAATGTAGGAGTTGAGCAAGTATATGGCCATACAGACCCACAGACAATTTTCAGCTGCTTTCATACACACACGTATCACCTGCCATGGTAAATCTAATTTTCATCTCTGATAAAAATAAAAAAAATAATTATAGAATGAGGAGCCTAAAACAAAATAAAATGATCCATGTTACTTCTCATATTACATATACACTACATGCATTATTCAGTTCAGCTCAGCTCAGTTTTCAAGATGTCTACATATTTCATACCTGTATTTATGAAAGCCATATATAGAAGACAATTCTGTCGTAATGAGCGTCCCTCATACAGCTGCGTTGTTTCAAGTATGGACACATTACCAATGCTAGCCATCAACTCTGTCTGGAAGAAACACCATTTAGCATGACTTCACATATCTCATCATAAGCTGAGAGCATATAATGAAGTACAGTATTACAAAGCATTATTAAAATGTAATCTGTACCTTAGGCAAACTGTTTATGATGTGTTGAAGACGAAAATAAATTACCATATAACATTTCAGTGTTAGGATCCACCCATACGACTGACCTACAGCACTCTCCTACAATAAGTTCCATGGTTCCCAAAATACAGGGTGGGGCACAGAAACTTCCTTTTTGTGAAGACACATTGTGAAGGGAGGGGAGGTTGCAGAAAAGTGGGGATAGGCTCGGCGAACGCAGCAGTCGCGGAAGTTTCTGTCTAATACCCCTCAGTAGGAAACATGAGGTGGACTAGTGAGCAGCATGCATTTTCTGTCGAAGCCTATTTTTCGAACAACCATTCCTGCGTGGCAGTGCAGCGTGCGCTCCGTACTTACTTCGGAATTAAGCCCAGAGGTCCGGTTCCCAACCAGAAATCGATTGTTTTGTGGGTAGAGAACTTTAAGACAACCAGGAGTGTGGTGAAGAAATCATCATGACAATGGACCATTACGATGCCAGAAAATGTGGAGGCAGTTCGAGAGTCGATTTTGAAATCTCAAAGACGCTCCGCTCGCAAACATGCAGTCGCCCTAGGCATATCCAATCATTCAATGCGCCAAATTCTTCACGAACATCTTCATTTCGGTCCCTATAAGATGGTTATTGTGCAAGAATTGTCACCACGTGATTTCCAGAACCGAATAACAGCATGCGAAATGTTATTGGAAACTTTACCCCCTGATGCACTTGTTTTCTTTAGTGATGAGGCACATTTTCACCTATCGGGATATGTCAACAAGCAGAATATGCACTATTGGAGTGGTAACAATCCCAGAGAGCTCCATGAGAGGCCACTTCACAGTGATTAGGTGACAGTATGGTGTGCGTTGTTGGAGTTATTGGCCCTTATTCTTTTGAAGAAGACAATCATGCAGTTATTGTCAATTCACAGTGCTATGTGGACATGATTAAGAACTTTTTCAAACCAGCTCTTGAAGAAATGCATCTAGGATATGTCTGGTTCCAACATGATGGTGCCACGGCCCACACAGCCCGAGCTTTGATGACAGTTTTGAGGGCAAAGTTCCCCTGACGGCTCATCTCGCTTCGATGTGACATCTCATGGGCAGTGCACCCACCTGATCTAACGTCCTGTGATTTTTTTATGGGGATACCTCAAGGCAGAGGTTTTTAAACATTGCCCCACAAACCTGCTTCAGCTGAAGAATGTTATTCGGCAGGAAGTAGCCCAAATTCCAGTGCACATGTTGGAACGTGCAGGGGGGAACTTCAGAAAATGGTTGCATCAGTGCACAGAGAACGGTGGCCACCACCTTCAAGATATTTTGTTTAAAACTACATGATTTAAAACTTTAAAGTATGTTCTTTCATTAGCTAAACATAAATTTTGTCTATGAGCAATAATTTTTCTTTTATTTGCCCTCAAAAAAAGGAAATTTCTGCGCCCCACCCTGTACAAAGTTCCTTCTTCATAATCCCATTTGTAAGTTGAATGTATCTGGCTCCCGATTCTACCAAGACACTGACTGAATAAAGCTTAGTAATGGCAACATACCAGTGCAAACCTCTCACAACATGTAAACTTGTTACACAAGAAATGCAACTGGCACTGTTAAGTGTGTTGTGCTATGTACCATCAGCAACTTGTACAGGGAAACAAGAGCATGACAACCATGCAAAACAGTTTAACTTAATGAGAGCAACTCATGAATCACTGCAAAATGACAAACGAAATTTGCATCGTGACATTTACCAGTATGTCTGACATTAGTTCTCAGCAAAAGGATTTCTACTTGCATTACTCCACTCATCCAGATATATCTCACAAGCAGCAAAGACAAATTACAGTTCATTTCATGTTAACCTAATCTCAGTTTTCAATATTATATTTAAGCATCCTGTTGCACTCCATACGATAAATGATACAAACTCCGTCTCAAGTGCAAACAATATATTTTGTGTCTTTTGATTTTGTCTCCTTCCTCCTTGTACCTTCCTCTCCCCACTACCCATTCCCCCCTACACTCACAAACATAAAACTCAGCACACAGTACATCAGACAGCATACGTAAAGAATAGCAGCGGCACGCACACAGAAAGACCACACAGGGTAAGTACAAATAACAATATACACACATAAGAAAACACCACAAACATAAGATAGTAATACAAATATATTTGTATATTACAGATAACACCTATACAGTGTGGAAACAAGAACTAGCCGCTGCAGCACTTCAAACACAGGGCGAATAACCCTAACAATTTTAAAATTTTAAAATTTGGACAAGAATTTAAAGTTTTAAAATTAGAACTAAAGATTTTATTATGGTGCTATTACAATAAAGTCAAAATTAACGTGTGTGAAGTAATCTACGGGTGGACAGCTATCAACGAAGTAGAAGTTGATAATGACAGGGAGAGTATTTAGATGTTAAATTTTGAACTGGGTGCAGTGTGACAGCGAAGTGAGTGATATACACCTGATGATGGCCGTCTGAGGCCGAAACATGTAGTGTAGGAGACAAAATCAAAAGACACAAAATATATTGTTTGCACTTGAGACGGAGTTTGTATCATTTAACCTAATTTCAGTTATTTTATAGCAGGCAAGAATACATGAAGGCAAGAATCTTACAATTTTCCAGAATAGACACCATACACAAAATGGCAAAGAAGGGTAAAGAAGAGGTGCTACCAATTACAACTTATGTGGAGAGACATACAAGTATATGGGGGCAACGGCCTTACAATGCTCAGGAATAGGCTTACATTATTAGGTACCATATGCAAAGAAACAAAGATGTAGGCTTTTTATACAATGAGAAAGACAAATGTGTTTCTGAAGAACAATTCTGACCGCTGATTTCACTGTCACCTCCAAATATACAAAAGGCTGTGAAAATGCTGACACTGACCACAGTGAAGTGTGGCTTGAATGACTATACAATCCCTGGCTTTAAGGTAATGACAATAAGGTCACGTTAATAAACGAATGGTGCTAACTTCAAGAAATAAGATAGCTATTCAAATACATCTCAGTTAACTGAAGGAATACCTGATTGTTTCAAGCAGTAATCTGACAACCTGGTATTATAAGAAAAAAGCAAAAAATATATCTCAACATATAACCATAACATACCTGTGCCTTCAAAAAGCCAGTAACCACAATAACAAACAGCAATCAAGTAACCACACTAACAGAATTTCAAGCTCTAACACACTGTGACATGATGGCTGGAAAGCAGGAATAGTGGAACAAGAAGAGGTGGCCATTGCTACATGACGGTGCAGTAAACACATCTCTGTAGCAATGAATCAATGCAACAACAAAGCAAATGTTTGAACTGGTGTTTTCTGGGTGGTCCACACTGAGATTATATAGCAAGGACCAAGAGGAAAAGTTAGTGACTCAGTGGTTGGAGATGGCAGTTAGTAGCTCATGAGTTGCCAAGTGAACAGTGGCAGTTTGTGGTTGGCCATTATTAGCAGCTGCTACCTAGCAACAACTAGTGATGACAAAATTACGAAGAGAAGAATTTCTGCATGCTACAGTTGTAGTGATTTACAGTGTGTGTAAACAGTGAGACTTTTATAGTCATTTGTATTTATGAGTTATAACCATCCAGTATAACAAATTATCAATCTAGAACCCATGTCTAGTCACTAGCACATGACAATATGAACATCAGCAGCCATTTATGTATTGTACTACAGGGTCTACCAAAAAGAATGTCAGGATTTCAGGAACCTGTAGCTTAGGAATTAAAACAGATATAAGGGTGTTGTTTACAGTGTTCTATCCATCAACTGGAAGACTTTTTACACACAAATGGAAGTGTTCACCACCTGTAACTTTCCATACATCCCACCTACAATCCTCTTGCCAGATGCCCTGTAAACATGTCCCTTGTAACATCTGCAATTGCTACAGTGAGCCATGTTTTGAGTTCATCCAGCATATTCACTTTTTGGCTGTGCACCTGGGCTTTCACACAGCCCCAAAGAAAAAAGATCAGGAGAATGAGGGGGCCACACAATTTGGCCCTCCTCTTCCTATCCCTTACCCTGGCAAATTATCTCCAAACAATCGAGGACAATCTGACGAAATTGAACAACTGTGCCATCTAGTTGAAGAATGAGATTGTTGTTGTTGTGGTGGAAGAGCATAATTTTCTAGGAATGAACTGCTTCTAATGATGTCATCATAGAAAAATGGGCCAATAAACCTTTCATGTGTGTTACTTCAGGACTATTCTGTTCATGTTCTAACCGTTCTCTGGGAGGATGACCGCCCCAAATTACATAGTTACACCAACACATCCAGAGATGTGGAGTTTTTCCTCATCAGTGAAGACAATAGGATTTAAGGAATTAAATTTGTGTGCGCGTGCCATAAACTGCAATCAGAGCTGTTAATCAAGTGCTATAAGTTTCAGGACTACCTATAATTTGTATGGCTTTAGATGCAGGCTCTTCCAAAAAATTCTGTGGACAGTAGTTTTGGTATCTGTAACTTTACATTTGATCGGGAGACAGATTTCTTTGGACTCTGGATGGCCTGACTAACACAATCCACATTCTCACCAGATCTCCCAGGCAGCCCAGCAGAATGTCTTTCCACACACTGCCATCTCTCCAAATAGCTTGTACCATCCTCTAATGTGATGTGCGATATGTACATTTGACAAAAGGCCAAGCATATTCACAAGAGACAAATCCATTTTCTTACATAAGGATTAGCACTGCAAGGGTTTAGTTGAAAAAAAAATCTCTAGTTGTGAGCCTCAAGCAGTAAACCACCAGTCGTAAAGTGACTTTGACTAATGCTCATCATCAGGTGGTCTCACACCATACCCACATCTACTTTCATGAGGAACTCAAATAATGAATTACAATTCTGCATACCACAACATGGTCTGTGCTTCCTGCTATATGGTAGACATTGCACTGACCGTGCGGAACGCAAATCAAAGCTGCTGTCCGCCAACTACAGTTTGGAAGTGAAAATGTCTGAATTTGTGATTACATAGCAACTACTGATATCACAACATTTATTTTCATTCCCAAGTTTGTTTTAAATCCCGGCATTCTTTTTGGTAGACCCTGCATCTTTATAAGACTTTTCAGTATAACAAAATGACAAATTAGGGCTCTCATAAAAAATAAAACACACCCTCCCATGCAAATCATTCAGTGGTTTCAATAGCACTTAACAGCATAATCTGGTATTAACAGTTCTTTTTAATATTTTGACTTACCATAGGAATGAGGACAGAATTATTAATACGAACTGGATGGCCCTCAATAAGCGATTCATCATCTTCATCAATCTCATCTACTCCAACCCACACTTCATTGTAGGCAAGTTGGAATCCAAAAATGATCAGGAAAAGCACGCCCAAACACATGTATGCCATGTATAGAAAGAAGTAACGGTGATTGTAATGGCCAATGCAATTATTTAGCCAAGCTGAAAAATGTTAGTTAAGGCATACATGTACAGGCTATGAAGGGAGAATCATTATTGATATGTTGGGATTTTGGACTTTATCCATCGTCAGAATCCTATAGTAACTAGAATCATTATTATTTACAGATTTCCTACTCAGAATGGTCTAAAACTGACACTTATTTCAGAATACAACATTGGAAAGGATCCATAGGTTTGAAATGACTGGGTCATATCAGCCTATAGCTTACACTGAAGTTCATTTACTGGCAAAACAAAAGTACCACAGAAAAACAAGACAGGAAAGACTGTACTTAATAATGCAATACACAAAATTCCACAGTTTATGAAGATTGTCTGTGGCTGGTTTATAAACAAAATTTCAAGAGAACACAAAATCTGCTATATAAAACAAGCAAAATGCATATTTAAACAACACAATAATGCACAAAATTGAATTACAACAAAACCTGTAAAACAGTTTATAAGGCATTGGGATTAGTCCATTTATGGCCCTACGTAAGTAAAGTAGTCTTTGTAACTGGTCATTATGGCTAAAAATCAAAGTTGCAGCACAATGTTATGCAAAGACTACTTACACAGTGTGTCCAGGTTCTGTTAGGACTGTGTTCATTAAAAATACAAGACATGAATTATTCTCAAAATGTCACCCTTTTTATTCAAAAAAGTCTCCTTCTGAATCAATACATAGGTGGAACTGATTGAAAAGTTTTCAAAAACAGTCACTGTACTCCTTTTGTGAAATCACATTTAAAACTGTGATACGTTCCCTTTGGATGTCCTGGATGGTGTCGTGTGACGGTCTCCTTTCATGGCCAACTTAACTTTTGGGAACAACCAGAAATCTGCTTGAGCCAAATCTGGGAAATATGGAGGATGATCGAGGACTGTGATCCCTTTTCTGCCCAAAAAATCTCGCACGATCTCTGATTTGTGGCGTGGGGCACTGTTGTGGAGGAGCGACCAGGAACCTTGCTCTTGATATTCAGGTTGAATTCAAAGAATTCTCGCCCACAAACGATTGAGGACTCCGAGATAATATTCAGAATTCACTGTTTGACTTCTGGCAGAAATTCCATGTGAATGATTCCTTTGGAATCGAAGAAAATGGTTAGCAGTGTGTTTACTAGACTCTTTTGCATGCACACTTTCTTTGGTTTCGGCTGGCTTCTTTTGGCTCAACCACGCTGCACTCTGCCGCTTTATGAGAGGCTCATATTGAAAACACCATGTCTCGTCACCAGTAACAATCGATTCTGTATCACTTTGAGCTGACCGTAACATGTTTTTGCAGTGTTTCACTCTGGCATGTTTTTCATCGCCTGACAGCGCGTGGTACAAACCGTGCACAGAATATCCGTTTGGCCAAATCCTCTGTCAAAACTTGATGCACAGTACCTTTGTGTATTCCTAAAAGCTCCTTGATGAGTCTTGCAGAAACATATCTGTCTGATGCAAGGAATTCGGTCACTTTTTTCACATTTTCTTTACTGCGACTTGTTCTTGGCTTTGATGCACGTGGAGCATCTTCAATGTCCTCCCTGCCATCATGAAATACAGCGTATCATCGAAAAATGTTCGAGCGACTCAAACAATCACTACCATACACACTGTTCATCATTTCGTATGCTTCTCCGGCTGTTTTGCCTAACTTCAAACAAAATGTGATGTTGGCTCTATGTTCAACCGCCATTTTGTGATGAGCATCAGAACAGTACTGTTACATTCAAGGTCAGAACACATGATGCAGCGATGCTTGTGCTTTGAAATTACAGACAGCCACAGCTGAAACTTCAAGAATCTTAATGCCACAACTCGCCAACAGATAGCATTGCAGGGAGAAATTTAAAAAAATGAGTCCTAACGGATCCTGGACATACTGTGTATATAAAATTTCACCAAAATATTAAAAGTGGTTTATGATGTATAATGCATGTTCATTTATAACTTAAAGTAAAGTAGGCTTTGTTATGGTTCAATATGGTTGAAAAGCTAGAACTGCCTGAAAATGTTACTCACCGATGCTGAATTTTTAAAACGTCTGTCCATCAGTTTATTGGCTAATATCAGGCCATAGGCTGACAAATGGAGAGACATGACTTCCACACTGGGCATCCTAACCCCCTCTCCCCACATTCTTTTTTACTTTCAAAAGAATGCCTAAAATTATGATTATGAATATGTCTTATCTCCTAGGATATAAAGCTGTGTAGCCTGATGAAAGCCAACCTTCTCCATGGGAACAGATTTTCTCCATCTTCAGGGTTGAAGAATGTGCCAAGAATGTGAAATATTGGCATGAAACAGACAGCAAGCAGATTATTTGATACTAGTAAGAAGGTTGGTTATTATGGCCTCAAACTGGCGTTGGAACAGTCAAGGACATGGGCCCACTGAACTGTTGGCTTCACCCTATCTGCACTGCTTTCACTCTGCCCATAACATCCACACCTTGCTCAGGCCTTGACCTATGCAAGTCATATTCCTAACTCCCATCAGCATCTTCATCATTTATATGTCTGGTCATGTTACTTGCATCTTCTCATGGAGGCTCTCGGTCTGTTTACTGAGAGATACCCTCATGGCTTATGCATGCAGTTAAATCTCCTGAATTTCAGTGTTGAGGTCCCCCGCTTGTTTTCTGACAGGCGAAGTGGATGGCATTTCTCCAGCTTCTTCTTGGCCAGCCCTTGTGGTGACCATCTCTTCCTGGCTCACTTCCATCTTTCGTTGACTGGCCTTCATGTTGGCTTTCATTTTGATTAGTATATGTTTCAAACTGCCCATGGACAGGTCCAGAATCAGCTGTGGCCAACAATTCAATCCCACTTCTGAAACCAGTTGTCATGGGTTAGTGACCAGACACAGGACTGACATTAATCCTTTGGCGCAGTCATTTAAATTCCGCGGCCGCGTCTCTGGCGGTAATATATTCAGCCGGCCATTTAAATTTTGCTCGAAAATGATTTATTCATCTTTGTTCTTAAATTCTATGAGATAGGAACATGAAACTTTCACTAAAATGATCTTAAAAGGTGGTTTTATAACCTTACCTTATAATATGGGCGCCCTGTATCTCGGCAATGGAAGCAGCTTGTTTAGTATTTGAGCAGTGAATGGTACGCCTTGAAGGATGAAACTTTCACTAAAATGATCTTAAAAGATGGTTTTTATAACCTTACCTTATAATATGAGCGCCCTGTATCTCGGCAATACAAGCAGTTGGTTTAGTAGAATCTGAGCAGTGTAAGGAAGGCCTTGAAGAATTCGTATATCCCAACGGTGCCCCACATTCACCGCTCCAATATTGTCTTTTCTTTTGCCCTTTTTTTTAACCACACATCTGTGCGGCCTTCTTCTTCCCCGTGAGGGGTATAGTTCAAGGAAATGTCTTTCCGTGACCCGTTTAGTTGCCAGGTCAGCTGTAGTAAATTCAACGTTACGAGTTATCATAACAAGGGGTTGGGGCTTCTGCGTTTCAGATTCCAACCATTTTGGCTGCCCCAGATGTCGTAGGGGTGACCACAGAATTCATGAAGTTATTCTAAGAACTGGCTGGTATATAGTGAACGAAAGCAGAGCTTAGCTGGCTCAAAAAAAATATTTATGGTCATCCCTCGAAACGACCACCAAGGTCAGTACGATAAAATGGCGTCAACTGGAGCGATAATACATGAAGGAATGAGTTCTTTTCCCTCCCCCACACACATCCGTATCGTCTCAGGGGGTGACCACAGTGTTCTGCCTTAATTCGTGACGTTTTTCTAAGAACTGGGTGCTATATACTGTGCGAAATCAATTGATCATGCAAGAATAAATTTTTGGACATCCCTGTTCTAAGAATTCCAATTGAGTGTGTTAGTGTGGCCAGCTCAGGGCAATAAACACAGCACATATCACATCTCTGCTGTTTATAATTTCATTGGAAAGAAAACACGCCATTCATAACAGATTGAACGACTAAACCTCTCCCAAGAGCAACAGGAACTTTGCTGCAAGACAGGCATATGTAACGATGACTTGGCGCACCTAAACAAATGCCTCATTATATATAGTACTTGTGACAACAGGCCAGCGAAAAATCTAACAATCTACAGCAAAACCATCAATTATTATGGGCGTTATAACATAGGTGTGCAGCTGGACGAAACATACACGTCGAACCCCCCCAGACGATTTAAATACCTGACGAAACATACACGTCAAACTACGCCAACGGGTTAATAATTAAACTGACTGGATACTAGCTACTCTTATTTACAAATAATTACATGGTCTACAAGTATTTACAATTTTTCACAGTTTATTATATCACTCTTGGCTAGTTCCTTACTGGTGATCTCTTCTCAGATATCTTGCTAGGTTTCTGGCTCTGGGTGCTGCTGGTGCGGTGCGGTGCAGTGCAGTGCAGAGAAGTAACTGCTGCTGACGCTTGCCAGCACAGTCATTCTTGGTATTGGGTCCTGCAGGACTCATGATCATACTTGTGTCATGACTCTGGGATTCATGAAACTACTCACCTACTGGTGGTTGTTGGTTGCAGACTAAATAGAGACCACCATGCCCAACAGTTCCTCTACTGTTGTGCACCTGCTGCCAAGGAAATGTTCACCCACTGACATTGATATTATTAAGAAGACAAATCTTTTAATGTAAAATCTCCCATGAAAACCTCAAAGTTCTGTGTGCTGATTACAAGCTACCATAAACCATACTTCTCCAACCAGAGACAGGTGTCATGGTACACCCGTGGCTTGGGTGCAAAGGATACGGCAGTGGTGGTCCATCTTGAGAACACATTTGTTGCACACGGAGCAATGATGTGTTCGTGGTGGCTTTGGTGCTATACATTTTTTACATATGCTGGCAGCTTCAGGAATGAGGGCACCCTGAAACAAACAAGGATATTGCAGAAAAGTTTATATAAAATCTTTTCATTTTCTTTTTATGCATGGGTATGGATGCTATTCCGGTCTAGAAAACCAAAATTAACGGCCGTGGGGATTCGTTGCGCTGACCACACGACACCCTCTATCTGCAAAGTTGACACTAACTTCACCGACAAGCGGCAGTCAGTCGGTCGGTATAGTTTGCTTGCGGACTAAAATCATGGAGTTCTTCTTTTTATGCATACTATTAACTCTAGAGCTTACATGCTATATTACAGAATTCAATGCACAGAAAACTACATATACATAAATAGAACACTTTGTGTGTGGACACGAGCAACCATGGTGAATAAACTAAACCATACTGCTTCCAAGTTCAGGGTAAAATACAGAGGCACTATATTTCTCTAAAATGTTTGTAACCATCTACCAGATAACATAATGGTACAACTCAGGGGTCATGAAGTTAATAGTCTCAGCCATAACAACCTCATATATTAGTACAGATGTTACTACTGGACAATGTTTTATACCTGCTGGTTTCCATACTTACCAGCTTATAAGAGTGCCTTGCCATGACTGTGACATTGGCTGAAATCAAGCATGAAGCAACAAGCAATTACAAAGTATCAGCCCTTTTTGCCTATTGCTGTCAACTCATCTGGTTTGATGTATGGCTGGCTGTACCTTACTCCTATATTCCATGACTTATCCAACCCCCCCACCCCAATCCATACATAACACATCTGTTTCCCATGCTTCTTCTCCACCATCCCATCCCATGTCTTTTTCTCCACTCCATCACTCTCTCTGCCTCTGATGCACACCACAAGTGTATGACTGTCATACCATCCAGTGTAGATACTAAAATTTCAGTTTGGATTTATGCTGGTTGAAATGTCAGAGATAAGAGTACTCTTGTCATTAGTCATTGCTTGGAACTAAGAATGTGCTGCAACCATATGCAACCAGGTACCAACGTTGTTTTTGTTTCTCTTGCAACTATGTTGGCATGCTGAATATATTCACAAACATTTAAATTTTCTGATTAGTTTAATTTGCCATGTTAGCTGGGTCCCATCACCAAGAAATGGTGCAGCGTCAGGATACCTATGGAGGAGACTGCCTCCAAATATGGAGGGTAGCTGCAAATATACTGAATAAGCAGTCATGAACAGCTGACATGGTTGGTCCTCCAGCTTGGGAGTTGGACGTGGGGCTAACAACTCCTCACTGTAAAATATAAGCTTGTTAAAAAATGTCATGAAGGCCTTGAACTTTGAAGGATTCTCTGGAAAAAAGTGGATCTTAGAGAGACAGGATGGTGTGGTATGGACTGGACTGGACTAGCTCAGGAAAGAGTCCACTGGAGGCTCTTGTGAACATGGTAATGAACCTCCAGGTTCCATAAAATGTTGGAAAGTTCTTGAGTAGCTGCACAACTGGTGACTTCTCAAACAGGGCTCAGCTTCTTGATGTTAGTTAGTTTAGGTTAATTTATTTGCCAATTAATGTAACCTTGCTAACTGTATTCATGTGTATGGGATTCTGAGTCTGTTCATTTTACATAATTGTGCAATATGATTTATCCAACATGCTGGACATGATATTCTGTGCATACTCGTGACCATTTCTGCTAAGAGTCTGATAACTGCAGCAATAGTGCTACGTTAGCAGAACCTCTTTTCTGCATCATTTTTGACAACACATTTGTTCTGGCTGTAATTCTGTTTTTCCTATTGTTATGTTATACATTCCATTGTCAGCATACTCCTCACATGTGTCTGCTTGTTGTTCCATTTCTAATGGTCAACTCTTTTTGAGTAAGTGAGGGGTGGGAAGCACATCACCACTGAAGTTTCCAGACCTCCACTCTCCCCCAGGCCTTTCTATCAATGTGAAGTACCTAGTGTACTCGTGATGCAGTTGGGCCATTCTAGCAAGATTACGTATATAAAAGAGTGCGAGAAGAGATCAGTGCAGTGGTGTATAGGAAATAGTAGTAAACAAGAACAAACTGATGCCAACACCATGATGGACTGCAAATAACTGCTCCAAACCTGATAAACTGTTACAATATTTCAGGGTAGGGTAATTGATCTGTGTAACCAGCTATATATCTATATAGACACCCAGATGAACTACAGCAGTGTTTCCCAACCTTTTTGATGCTGCGGACCCCCTGTACCGAATGTTAATTGACCACGGCCCCCATAAAACCCAAAATGGAAATTTTTTATATTTTACATATCATGAAAGTGAAGCAGTAACTTACAATTTTACAACACTAAATGTGTCATTTATGAGAATAAAATACTGTTATAAATGGTGCTTATTCAGAAGGTCACAAACATATCAATTAGGCTTAATATTATGAATTTAACACTCACCTAATCGACGATCCACACTTTAATCACTGATCCATGTCTAAATAAGATCGTGAACAAAGATCGTGAACAAACTGACAATCAGAAGTTTCGTTGTGAACATTATTTGAACAAGAGCAGAGAAACTGAATATTAAACCGAGAAAAACACACTTGTATAATATTATAAAAATCCACTGCACAAAAACTAAAGACACACAGGTTGTTCACTCTGCCACTGAAATGAATAAGAAACGTGGTCAATGATCCCAGCTTCATTCCCAACCAAAGAGGGATGGATTTGTCGGGGAGGAGGGGGAGAATGGTCAGACAGCAGGTAAGAAGGAAACCCTGAAACACGGGTGTGAGATGCAACAGGTCGACCAAAAGAAAATGTCCTTGGAAAAAGCTACACAAATCTTTGGTTATTCACCTCTGCTTTACAAAGGGAAGAAGTAACGGTACCAACAGTCCCATTAAATTTTACTTGAACCATGGGCCTCAAGAGCCAGAGATATACCTTGCAAATATCCCAGGTGTAAGGAACATGATAAGATAAAGTTTAATGAAAATAAACTATCCCGTGGACCCCCAGGGGTCCGCAGACCACAGGTTGGGAACCACTGAACTACAGGACACTGAAAATGACAACCCAATCAGAGATGATAAAGTGGCCCATCTGATGAGTAACGTTTGAGTGACCACTGCAGATTTTCAGACTTAAACCATTACTTACTGGTACCAGCAGATCACTTCTATCAGGGGTAGAAGTTCCAGTTCTCCCTGAGCTTAAAAAAGCATCACCGTTACAAGTAACACAACAATACATTATACACAACTGATGCAGTGTCTTTCTTGAAGGCTCAAAATGTCTTAATCTCTTACCACTGACCCATTAGCTGGAACATAGCTGACAATGGAGTCCAGTTTACTGGCTAATATGCCAGACATCATAAACAGGGACATGCATTTCTTAAAGCATATTGTTTACAAGAACTTACTATCAAAGCAGATACCCAAAATTTCTCCCTTCAGCTCTTGTAAAGATTAATACTATTCTGAGTTTTCTGACCTCGATGAATGCAAGTGTTCCATTAATTCTGTGCTTAAGTTCATCCAGTATCTAAAGATTATTTGACTATACTTTGTTTTTTAAGTTTCCCACAGATAAAAGTCACAGGGGCTTAAATCCAGTGACCTTGCAGGCCACAATATGTGACTTACCTGTCATCAACACCTCATTTAAAACATCAATGGAATAATTAGCAGTGTGTACTGTAGCACCATCCTGCATAAAACAATCATGTCTCTTGTTTCTCCATAATGCTCTAAAAAGGCATAAGTTGTGCTATATGTGAGCAGTATTAATGGCACATTATACATCATTCCTCAGATCATGAAGTGGCACTTACATTATGCCTCTGAGTAACACTACTCCAGTATCTACTGTTCTCAGCACTGATATAGACAGAACAAAACTCTGTCAGTAAGAAATGAAAGTTTTGGACCAAGAGCCCTGTCATATAATACCCATAAAAACTAAAAAACTAGTCAAGACTGTGTTCTTCTCTTGCAATCTAATTCTATGATTGCTTGAACCTGTCTAATTTGATGCAGCAGGCAGAAGATGTAATTTTAGTTGCTCTCCACACTGCTGTCACTGAAACCTGTGCCTGTTCAGTTAATCATGTCGAGATTTTTAAGGAGAATGTACCAACCTGGCTCCAAATCTGTCACACTTTTCCTCTGAGAGCACAGCATTCTGTCTAGTGCACTTCTCGTCTAAGAAGGACCCAGAAGAATGCATTTTCTTCACCAATTCAGAAATCATTGATTAAGCTGGAACTCCAATACAGGATATTAGGGTGAAACCTTTCTTTACACAATCTACATGATAATTTTTCATATAAGTATTGTACAGAAAAGCCCACTTTCAGTTGCATATTTCACTATTTCAATTCAGCACTGCAAATGAGAGCACGAAATAGATTTCTGAATGTCTTATCAGAACAGAAACAAAAAGGGTTCTCATACACATTTCAGTCAGTTATTTGAGGTTGCAGTTAGTGACACAAAATAAACAGTAACAGAGACACTACACAGCAACATTAGCTAATGGTCTCCTTCCCAGTCTGCTTATCCCTTGATGCATGTTCACATACCACTTGCATTTTCTTCTCACAGTTGGGGCAACCACATTCAGCTCTTTGAGAAAGACAAACAATAACCATGTTACATGCAAGTAACAAAATCAATAAATGTATCATATGCAAGTAATGAAAGTAACATAATCAGTATGCATCTGTTACATGGAAGTAACACAACATATATATGTATATATGGTACATGAAAGTAACATAAAAAATTAACACATTACATGCAAGTAACAAAATCAATAAACATGTTACATGTAAGTAATGAAAGTTAACATAATCAATAAGCATCTGTTATGTGGAAGTAACACAACATATTACATGAAAGTAACACAAAAAATAAGCATGTTACATGCAAGTAACACAAATCAATAAACATGTTACATGCAAATAACACAGTAACATATGTTATGCGTATGTAACACAGTGAATAAGCATGTTAGATGCAACTAACAATGTCAATAAACATACTGTGACATGACAGCTGAAAGCTGGAATGAGTAGAGGCAGTCATTGCTAGGCAGCGGCAGAGTAAACACATTTCCACAGCAACAGAAACTGATGCAACAATAGAGGATGTGGTGTTTTATACGCAATCATTTCTAGGCAATGGCACTGTAAACATGTTTCCGTACCAATGAATGCACATGCAACAATAGAAGAACTGTTGGAAGCAATGTTTTGTATGCAGTCTGTGCCAAGGCTACATAATGCAAACCAGCAGCAGTCTATGAGTTGTTTAGGGGCCATGCATGCATATGCATATATATATATATATATATATCGCTCTCTTCTCTCCCNGTAGTTGCAATGATTTATAGAGTGTGTAAATTAGTGAGATTTTTATAATCATTTGTAGCTGAGTCTTAAGTATCTAATAAATCTAATTATGAATCCAAACCCCATGTCTAATCACTAATACATGACAATATGTTAGATGTATGTAACACAGTCAATGCCATATTACATACAAGCAACAAAAAGAGTAAACATATTGTGACGTGTTTGTCTACTGAAGACAATGTTTGGATTGTTAATTGGTTTTAATAACAACCTACAAGTTGTAACTACAATTACTTATGACACTCTTGCGGGTTTACACACTTTACAAACCCTACACACTAATCTCTTCACAGTCTATCTTCAGTAGTCTTCACGTATTTATAACACAGGAGCTATAAAAGTCTCTCTGAATTACACACCTCCAATATAACTGTACTACAGCACACATAAAGTCTTGAAGTCACACAATAAGTCTTCACTGGCTGACTTCTCAGTTATTGCACACATAATATCTTCTAACCACGCTTTTCATTCTTCTTCCCGTGACTGCTGCTGTATTTCAACTGAACTTATAACTTCTTCATGTTCACAATTCACTCGCTACAACTGAACTCGGCAACTGCTAGACTTCAACTCCGCCAAATACTCTGAATACTAACTGGCTTCGGCAGTTGCCACATTTCAACTGACTCCTTAGTCAGAGTCAGAGTCAAGAGTCGGAGTTACTTTATGACTGGCGGTTTACCACCAATTAGTTCGTCTTGGTGTCAGGCCCCTTGAGACCCACGACCAGAGTTTTTATTTTCAACTGAACTCCTGCAGTAATAGTCCTTATGTAACATCCTCTCTGACGAGAAGATGGGTCTGTCTATTATGAATACACTTGACCTTTCGTTGAGTGTATATTTTGCACATATATGTTATCAAAAACTCTTCCTTTTGCTTTACACACAAGTCCTCTGTCAGTACAGGCTTTACAGAGCAGATCATTCCTAACTTACAGATCTTATGCTACAACGAAAACTTAGTCATTTGAATGGTCATAAGCTTGACCACCGGCGAGTTTAAGCCTCTTATATTTTCTGTGTCTGGCTTCACCTTGTCCTATACTGCGAACATGCTCATTATCATGATTTTGTATGACTTCTGCTTGTCATCTACACAATTTTGTTATATAATTCTATACATATGGAAAGTTGAAATACGTGGGCAAGTTGCGGACTGGATTGCACCTTGGAAAATTTCCCATGGTGCGCAAAACCTTGTTTTGCATGTGCTGCAATTTTAGGAGGTAGGTGTCTGCCGCTAATTCCCAGGCAGGACAAGCGTAAGTCATTACCGATCTGATCAGTGCATATAGAGGGATAGTTTAATGTTTGCGTTTAAACACTCACTTTTGAATAGGGAGTAGATTCTAATAAATGTTCTGAAGGCCTTGGCTTCAATCATTTCTATGTGAAGTCTCCACATAATACTTTTTTCAAAGACTACACCCAGGTATTTTACATGATTGACGAAGGGGATATTCTGCCCATTCAATGTAAGATGAGTCTGAGGGGGCCTAAGTCTATGAGAGAAGTAGATTTCTTGAGTTTTATCTTCAATGATTTTTATGTTCGAGCAATCACACCATGTCTCAATAACACTTGAGACCTCGCCGCAGCTTTCTGAGGACATAATCCTCTTTGCGGTCTATCACATATATAGAGGTGTCGTCAGCAAAGAGACCTAGATAGACACCAGGTGTTTGGGGCATATCGTTTATATATAGACTGTACAGTGTGGGGGAGAGAACAGAACCTTGTGGCACTCCTGCTTGTATATCCCTTGGTGTAGACATTTCACCTTCGACTGAAACTCTGAATTTTCTCTGAGAAAGGAAAGAGCTAATAAGCTTGATTAAACTTATCAAAAATTGTAATGTAGATAATTTATATAGCAAGCCAGTGTGCCATGTTTTATCAAAGGCTTTTTCAATATCCAAGAATACAGCAGCTGTAGACATGTTATTGTTGAAATTTAAGGTTACGTGGTCCGTAAGCCTCATACATTGAAGTGTCGTGCTATGACGGGCGTGGAAACCAAACTGGCTTGCATTAATCAGGCCTCTTTCTTCAATGTGCCTTTAGACTATTTTCAGAATAACTTTTTCAAATTGCTGGCCTGTTGTAGACAAGAGGCTAATCAGCCGTAAAGTCTGAGGAAATTTTGAGTCCTTACCGGGTTTCGGTAATGTTATAACCTTTGTTTCCTTCCAAGGCTTTGGAAAATAGAACAGCCGAAGGCAGTGATTAATGCAAGCCATATAAACCCTCAGTCAGAAAACACACCTTGCTTCACTGTTGCATAATTGCCGTGTTTACAGAGGCACTGCTGGGCAATGCTGCATAGCAACCAGCACACTTCGGCTCGTCTAGGCAGGGCATAGAGAAACACCACTCTCCTTACTGTTGCATAATCTTGTTCCACTGTTGCACAACTTGGCAAATGACCGTCTATCAAGAGTTGTCTTTGTGGTAACTCGTTCCACATCCCGTTGCCCAGCAACGGTTTGACATGTCACAATATGTTACATGCAAGTAACACAGCCAATAACTCAATACCACTGAACAATATACATAATACACACTCATATATGTATATTTTTAAATGTTGTTACTTGCCAAAAACAGAGTGCATGTCTTATTCTGAGACTGTAATATATGAACTACTACTGAAATATTTTGTGTTCTCATCACTGAGAAATACAAATTATTTTTTCATGAGCATATTAACCAAACCTGTTCCTGGAGAACCATTCCATATGTTATGTTCTGTGCACTCTACAACTTGCACATGTAATCTGTAGTATAAAGAAGGTAAAGTTGCTTGTGTGCTTACTTTGTTAAGTACAAAAACATAGAGATGTATGTGGGACTGGAGGTCTAGATCCATGTATCCATCTTTAACCTCAGCACTAGATGGAGGACAGCAGTCAGCTTCATGCCCTGACTGCTTTAACCCCAGGGAAGAGACCACAGTACCCAGGGGACAGGAAGCTGAATGGGCCCCAGAGCCAATGTGGACACTGGAGAAGAGAAAAATCTCTTGCCCTTGCCAGGAATCGAATCCTGATTCCTCAGCCACTGAACCACAGCCCATTGCTATACCAACCAGTAAACTATAGCGGTTGTGGTGATGGATTACTTTCTGCATCAGTGAAGCCACTACAGTTCTCTGAAGTAATGTAATTAAGGTCACTCCAGATAAAAAGAGACAATTAATTTGTTTAATCTGTGATGTGAATGGCAGAGGAAAGACAATGTACTGTACCTTCATGAGTCTGCATACCAAAACCAAATCACTGTTGCTGCTGGTCAGAGCAAGGTACTATATGAATAACAAATTCCATCTGAAAATGAGAAATGAAAGGGGAATTTGTATGTAAACAGTAATTCTATTGTTTTCAAAACATATTACCTCTGGTGGGTACCCCGGAAGAGTGTTAGCTGCCATATAATAATGAAAACAGATGTTGACTAAAAGCCAGTGACCAACAATTATCAGCAGTACTGTCACCCATGGACTCTTGTTCCACCAGTAGGGAAGTCCAATCCAGTATGCAATAGCCACGACTGAAGCTGTCAATCCACACACAGATGCAACAAAGAACTAAAAAGAAAATATATAACATAATTTGAATACATGGAAACTTGGAGTAGAGTCCTTCTTTAGGGGCTGACAATCACTTGGTCAGCCAAGAAATTGCCTGCCTTTTTATCCTGTTCACAATGGACTGCCTCTGGACCCTATTGTGAGCCAGTTAAATCCAGTCAATATCGCCATAGGGCAGGATCCTTCTTGAGAAGCCCTTGTCATTTGAATGTTCATAAAATTACCCTGGCCTTGACAGAACCCAACAGCTGACCACTGGACCCTATTCTAAGACAAATGAATCTGGCACGTCCTCTCAGAATCACACAAAATTACACTTAGAAAAGAAGGCAAACACAGCACAGGAGCTATAAATATCCTAAATAGGTTATTTAGTATCAAAAGGTATGAGAGTACGATTATGTATGGTAAGTGGAAAAGGAAGCAATTTCAAGATACTACCCAGGTTCTGCCTGAAATGTCTGAAAAACTTCAGTCAAGGTAACTGGCATTCACACCAGATGCCTCCTGAATACACTTACAGTGCAGGCCTGCATAGAAGAATATTAAAGTATAGCTTAGAGATGCAGACTGAGAGGATGTCACGTGCATTTTACTGGGTGACAAGACTGAGAAATGGGAGAAGATAGTGATGAACCTTTCCATTCAGGACTAAGAGGAATTTCTTTATCTTGTCAATGCAAAGCATAGGTTTAGAAAGAGACAGCTCCATGCTCACAGCAGCACTCCCTTGCAGTATAAACAAACATGTCATGTCAGGTGAGCTGACGTGACAGTGTCTAGTGTGTCATAACACATACACTCTGTTCAGGAGTAACACTGGGAAACAGGATGGAATAGATAAAAGACAAGAAAAATACCACCAAAGACAATGTGAAGACTCTGGAAAACATAAATCAGATGTTCAGTGAATCTGGAATGATGCATGGTGTGGGGCTTACCTGGAGGATGTCAAGAAAGTGATAAAATTCAAAGGAAACTTCATAATAAAATTTAGCCCAGATTTGCAACAAACAGTAAGGCCAAATTGGGTTTGGGAAGAGACAGGTCAAGGAGGAAGGTGGTGTGTACAATAATGTCAGTTGCTGAGCAAAGAGGTGAAAGCAGAAAGTAGAAAAACTGGCTGCTGCATATTGTGACGCGGATGGTGCAACGGGAAGTAGGGGTCACGTGAACTCTGAGGTCTCGCAAGTGACGTCACATACCCCCACTCCTTCCATCAGTACGCAACGCTCGTTATAAAGACCCCCTCCCCCACGCTGACATAACTGAAGAGCAACTGCGTCAGGCAACCATTGCCGCGGTGACGTAACAAGGGATACCACAGTTACTACACAGCAGTAAACAACTCTCAATAATGTTGCTAGGCAACCTGTAAACACAGCGTCACACAACAGCAGTACCTATCACGTTAACTGTTTTCTGTGTTGTCCGTGCCAAGGCTAAATAAGGAGCAGCGAACACTATTCGGTAGTGAGGATTGAGCCAGTTACGAGGGAGTAATGATTAACCAGTCAGTTGAATTGTAGCAGTCGCCGAGTGGGGTTGTATCGAGTGCATGGCAGTGACTACAGGAGTATTTGTGATACTTCCGATGGCAGTAATTGTGAGATTGTAAATTGTGTGATTGTGAGAGTGAGTGTTCAATAAATTCGCTAGATCCAAAACGGCGTGAAGTTATTTGTCGCACATGACAATATATTGCAGCATCAAAGATTAACATATACAGGACATGTAAAATAATTACAGAAATATGTAATTCTATAGAAATACAGAATTCCTTTTAAGATAAATGCAAAAACACATTTTTAGTATTTTATTGTGGAAGAAAAAAAATATTTCACAAGAAATGAGAGAATGGTGAATAGCATGGCTGAAAGCATAGATCTGAGGATGAAGAAGTATCAGAAGATGATGTATGAAAGGGAAGGTGTCTCCTGCATTTGGGGGAATGGAATGCTGAACACATACTCCTAAAATGTTTGGCATCAAAAAAAGCGAAGAGAATTTGGATGCAGTAAATGGTTGAGCACAAATGATGATTTGGCATACGTAAGAAAATAATAAATGCACAAATATAATAGAGTTAAAGAACAATGGGAAATATTCATACAGACTTCTTTATTTATTTTAATAGCTAGAAACCATTTTGTAAAATATGGCATGTAGTAATGAGACAACCTGTAAATTTTCATATTGTATGTATTGTGACATGTTGCGCAACGGAGAACCCCTCCCTACCCAGCAGCAACGTGTCAACTCAGGCAACAGTGACATGGCAGATGAGTCAGCGCTCCCTCCCCCCCCACGGTGACGTAACATGCAACGCCGCAATTGCTACGTACCCGTAACCAACTTCCAACAGCATTGCTACGTAACAGGCAAACATAGCCACTATATATGAGAGCTGCACTGCCTGCGAGGCGAGTTGAAATATAGCAGCAATCGCGATAAGAAGACCCGAATGTGTGGTTACAAGATTTTATGTGACAGTGTGCAATAACTAAGAAGTCAGCGAGTGGAAGACTTATTGTGTGCTTTCGAGACTTTGTGAGTGCTGTAGTACAGTTATATTTGGAGTGTGTAATTCAGGGAGACTTGTATAGCTCCCACGTTATTAATGCGCAACATGTCACAGTATATTCAAATTTAGCTTCCCACACCATTCTCATCAAAAGTCCATGTGGTAATTTTCCTGGGATTGTATTGTCACATGCTGGGTATGTCACGTGAAAAATAACTTCACGTGGGTCTCGGATTTAGCGAATCTTTATTGGACACTCACTTTTACACACCTTATAATTATTACCGCTTGCAGTATCACTTGACTTCTGGCCCAGTACTCTAATGTTCTGTACGTGTCATAAGCTCTGCTTATATAGGGGTTATGCGGACTGGATACCGGACACCATTTCTCACAGTTCCGTTACCGCTGTTCAGCAATCTGTTGCTTTTGGAATGCTCTTTATAGATTGCACCGGTAACGTGTTTCGTCTCATCCGTTGTTACTCAACAACAATTCGTTGCTACGATTTGTCGCTGCGGGAACTCCACAATTTCCACGTATTCATTGTCGTGGAAGTGTCTGTTGCGATTGTAGTGGTTGTCGCGGTGATGGACGCAAGGTAACGAGTCACAGTATGTTCTGACGGCCTCTGCATGGGATCATGCCTTCATGCAGTGAGTTCTCTGAGTGGGTTATAATACTGATCTGAACTTGTGAAGGGCATAGTTATACAGAGGTCACATTCATACAGAGAGTGAATTTTTAAAAATCTGCCTGAGCCTTGTGTGTGCTGGCTGTTTTCACTTAGGTGCCAGGCTTGACTGATGGCCAGAAAATGGTTTCTACTCATGGTCTGGGACAGAACTGGTGCACATATGGGGGAGCTAGTTGAGCAGTCGTCTTTGATATTGTCAGTTTTTATCTGCCCCCTAAAAATTATCAGGTCCAAAAACTGTTTCATTTCTGAACCAGTGAAGTTGGACCACTTCTCTGTTTCAGGTGAAACTTTCTGTGGTAAGGATCCTGACTATGGTGGAGACTGGAAAAGTCTGTAGAAAGTTGTATGGGTTCATCACCAACTGCAGCAGTGACCATTTCAGTAACACTGTCAGGGTTATCAGTAACTGTATTCAGTCCTGTGGTTTCGAGAAATGGCCCATCACTCACTTTCATGTCAGTCTTGTAAAGGGCACCTTGTCATTCATTATCAGAAAGAATGCCTATTTTGCATGAAAACTTTTCACCTTCATCTCTACTGCGTGATTCACTGTCACCCTCAAAACAGGACAAGATTGTAACAGTTTACCCCAACCAAATGGTGGTACCTATGTCAGTAAACTGTGCTTTCATCATTTTATAATATTTTCTGTACTCCTGTCAACACTATTTGCAGCAGGCGGAGCTTGCTGTCTGTTTCTCCACACGTGTTGCGATCTTCAGGTCCGGTTTTTGGTTGCAATTTTTCTATCGTGTACTTGGTGTATATTTTTCATGTAAATTGAATGGATCCACTTGTGCATTACACATTATACATGCTATATACTATATTATATACTATAATGGGTTGATTATTTATCTATTGGTTAACACTGTAGTTATTCTGCCAAAGTTGCAAATACTGAATGTCTTATGTGAAAGTGTGGCCACTGAGCATGATCTGTGCACTTCACGCACTGTTGTCTTGTTCTACTCTTCCCCACGGTACTCATTATAGCACAGAATATAGCATATAGTGTATAACATGCCAGTGGATATATTTAGTTTACATGGAAAATTTACACCACACATGATAAGAGTAACTGTAACTAAAAACCAGACCTCAAGATGGCACACATGAGCCAAAGCATGCTGTCTGGGTGGCCCATACGCGTACGAGTCTGGCTCGCGAGTCCGGCTCGGCGAGGAGTCGGGCTCGGATTAATTTCACCACACAAGTATGAGTGTGGTGACCCACACATAGACGAGTTTGGCTCATTGGAACCCAAGCCGAGTCAGACTCATGAGCCAGACTCGTACGTGTATGGGCCCCCTTAGACAGCAAACTCTACCTGCTGGAAAAAGTGCTGTGTTGAAAAGAATATTTGTCATGTGACAGAGTGACTGTAGCTGGGGTTTGGATTGGTACTGGATTTACTTACTGAACTCTTTACAACTTGTAATTATAAGGAAGGATTATGCTCTCACTGTTCTACACACTTGAAAAATCACTATGGGATACATTAGGTCTTCTCAGTCTGTTACAGTCTTCACTAGCTACTGCTTGGTAGTAGCTTCCAATGGCAAATATTCCCTTCCTCTGGGTTCCTGAACTGTCCCCAGCCTCAGCTATCAGCTTCTAACAGCAAGAGCTCACAATGACTGAACCCCACTAGTTATCTGACTGATTTCTAATTGGCCCTGCTTATAACAATTCAGGACAGACTGCGCAGAAAACACCATTGCTCTGCTGCAGCACATTTGCTGTTTAGTGATGGCATGACATATTCCACTGCTGCATGTGCAGTCACGGCATGGACTGTGCAGAAAACACCATTCGTCTGCTGTTGCTTACAGGCTGCTGACTAGCAAAGAGCAGTTGTTGTTACCCCACAATTCTGGTTTTGAGCCAGTAAGCCACAATATAGTAAATACTGCCTACTATGATCTATAAAACATGTTGCAAAAAATACAAGTTCATCACTGGACACATCAGAAAAACTAATCCGTGTAAAGTTCTGAGAAATACAATCACTGAGTGTACATAACCTTGCTATCAACGATGTTCCATACTGCAGAAAATCTTAAAGCATGAACCAGAGCAGAATGAATGCATTATACTGTACTGCAGTAAGTAGTATGTAAAGGCACAGACTACATGTGGTCTGTGTTTATTATTAGGAGACATAAAACATTTTTCTTCAAGATGCCAATAACCTTGAGCCAATGTGGCAGCCAAAGTCACACTCACACAGCCTACAAGAATGAAAACATATGCAACCCACATACAATGCATGCCATTTACATGATGGCTTTTGAGGTGACTCGTCTGTAATGTGATTAATACTCAGTATTTATCAAAATATGCCAAAAAATATATTTAGACCTTTCTGTGAAAGCAGCAGTTCATAGTGCCAAATCAAAATGACATTTAGCTGATAAAGATCCCAGCTAATAACAGTGCAAAAGTAATCATTTCATTCACAGCAGTCACCCAAAATGGCACAGTTGGTAGGTTACCACTAAAGCAACAGGCACCCACAGAGAACGTGACTAAAAATATATCTTTTGCACCACTGTTTTTTTAGTATAGCACCTATCCACTGAAAGTAATTAGATGTAGAGAGAGTATTTTTATTCACTTGACGAGTTCACAGCTCTGTCCTTCATGGTAACCGGTGCATAACCAGCCACAAGGCGCATGTGAATTTTACCAATGAATCAGCATCCCCAATGGCTGATAACATTCAGAATGAAGTAGTTATAATTCACAGATCACAGGTGGTGTTGAAAATGCCATCCTCTCAGACACCAACTTTCACTGGATGGCTTCAGCAATTATATTGCTGTTCTTGCTCTAGACTTTGGCACTCCAGACTCCTGACCTAGACATTTCAATGATTTTCTAGATGTATGTTTAAGTCCAGCCCCTCTATCATCTAACTTCTCAGTAAGCACTAGGCACTTATGTTCTTGTTTCTTGTCGATTAAGAGTCACAATGTTCTAAGTTTATTTACCAAATTGTGAATTGTTGCCTGCTGGGAATTATTTCATCATGAAATTTATGTCAAAATTTTCACTAACACTTTCTAGCAGACCTGTATTTCACACAGCTGTCATAGAGAAAGAAAGAAATGTTGCTCTAAAGTATACTGCACCATGATATACTGCACTGCTCACTAACAGACACAGAGAACAAATGGCTAATGGAGCTGATAACTGCTGTCTTCTGCTGACAAATCATACACAAGCTCCCCACACATGAACTGCACTGCTTCTGTGAAACATAATGTTGCGAAGTGGTCTACAAGTTAATTACTTCCTTTCATTCCAAATGTTATCGGCTGTTAATTGACAAGAATTGTAGGTGACTTGTAGCAGGTGGCATACCATCCACCTTGAAGTGCAGAGCAGTGAAATCATCAAGTGAGTTAAAATATTCCCTGTAGAATCATAAACTTAATCTGTACCCTCTACCTTACAGAACATGTGCATAAATGGTATAAGCACATTCTTTCCATACAATACAGAAGTATGTTATTCCAATATCAGATAAAAATTGTAAGTACTGGCAGTCATTTTACTTACAGGGCCAAGAAATTTGGTGAAGTTGTCTACAAACCAAAACATGGGCTCCATACACACATCGGCTATATAACCCTGGTCCATAAAATGATTGTAGAAAAGGGAGTATATTGACAGATTTATTTTTCTCCATTGCCATCTTACAGAATCCCTGAAATATTTAAGAACATCTGATTTTTGGGTACAAATTGTAATCTGAAAGTGTTTCTCAACTACACACATCAATCAAGTCACAACTACATACATCTGACAGAAAATACAGCCTGCAACATAAAAAACTGTGGGGAAAACCAACACTGTATACCTCAAGTTCAGATTATATAGGAGAGTTCAAACAAAACAATCCCAAATTTACCACAGAAAGTTTCACTGTCTGTTGGTATAAATATGCATAAATTGGTATTAAAATTTAGTTACAGAATTTAGTTTACAGGTTGATTCCTGGAAGGGGCAAAGATTTTTCTCTTCTCCACATCAACCAGACCAACTGTCAGACCCACTCAGGTGGGTGCAAGGCACTCTCACCCCACGGTGAGTAAATAATCAGGGTGTGAAGCTGATCCTTTGCCTCTACCTAGTGCTGAGGTTTTAAAATGAGTGAAGCTATACCTCCACTACCCTATATTTCTTCACAGCATGGCACTTACTAATTAATTAAGCCCAGAACTCTTAATACACACGTCAAGTACTTAATTTTGTTAGCTATCATTATATGATGATTTGATACTGCATTTTGGTGATAACACATAAACATATACTTACTTGTTTCCTCTTTGTGGTATGTATGTTTTCATCCATTAAATCAACATAATCAGCATAAATGAAAAGTTTAAAATATATATGGCAAACAAATTTGAAAAAATAATGAATGCATAAGTTTTAATTCATCAACAACAAACATTCAACCCACACACTGCAAGGGAAGAGGATATATCCTGTACAAACTACACTTCTCATAAACAGTCTTCAGAACTAACCTCAGTACTTTCATTTTCTTGGAGATGTATTGGGTATTCCACATTATTATCCTTAGTGGGCTCAGACTGGGTCCACTTGGTATTGCGGCCGCTGTTTGGCCTATTGTACCAGCCCCAGATGACAGATGATGGTAATCATGGAGCAATTGGTGGAATGAAGATTGGCAGGGTAAACCAAAGCACTTGGGAAAAACTTTCACCAGCGCCACTTTGTCCACCACAAATCCCACATGACCAGACCCGGGCTCGAACCCAGGCCGCCATGCTAGGAAGCCAGTGACTAATCACCTGAGCTATGGCGTGGCCATTGGGCATTCCATATGTAAATTCATACAGGCTAGGCAGCCGGCTTACCGGATGGTACCTGGGATAGTTGTCAGCTTCCATCTGATCTGAACCATTGTTTTCACAAGAAGGTATAACTACTCATTTTTCATAAATTTCAAAGTGTCAATTGCTGGCTACAGCAGTTTTCCCCAGACGATAAGCCCACCATTAGCAGACCTGCAATTATATAGATGCAACATAACATTATCCATCTATGGCTCTACTGCGTTTGTGGGCCTTGGCCGCTTTTTTAGTTTCTTGTTCTATACACACAAAGCCAGTAGGGCTCCTTGGCCGGGGGATCAGCCTGCAGCAGGGGCGCTACTTACACAGAACAACACAAACACAAAATAAACGCACACACACATCCATGCCTCGAGTGGGATTCGAACCCACAATCCCACTGCTCCAGCGTGCTAAGACGGTGCGGCCGCTGTGATAGACAACATAACCTTAACCGCCTCTGATATTTAAATACTACTATGAAACAAGATTTAAACGAATTTCAGAATATAACTTTATACACCTATGCCACTGTTAATTATCTTCTTGCGTGCCATAACAATAAAATAAAGCGTAGGTATAAATATTTGCTGAAATAACGTCTACGATACCCAACGTACCAAACACAACACTTAATACATTGTTACCGATTGTTACTCTCCAAATGTGCATTGCCGTGTACCAACCTCGATCAACGAATATCCACAGCTGTTTTAGGCAACATTTTGCATTGTTTGAGTTACATTTTACGGCTTTATTCATTTTGTTTATGACTTACTCTTTAAAGAATATTATCACGTATTAATTATTGTTTTCCGGTCTAGAAAACCGAAATTAACAGCCATGAGAACCATGAGAGGCATGAAGATTAGTTGCACTGACCACGCGACACCCTCTATCCGCTAAAGTTATCACTTAGCCGACAAGCGGCGGTCTCTCGGTCGGTATAGTTCGCTTGCGAACTAAACCACGGAGTTTTTGTTTATTTTTTATTGTCTAGAAGGGGTTTTGATCGGCAATCGGGTTTATTGAACACATGCAAGTCAGAATTACGAGTACGAGTAACTATGATGTTGCACACATCACTATAACACACACCAGACTTCTCAGTTTGTTACAACCTCCATTAATCATTGCTTAATTACAGTCTTCTAACAAGGGCTATTCCTCACTCCTTGACGGCCCAAAAGCTGCAATCCCTAACCGCCCGTCGATCGGTCGGTTAAATTGCTTCTGGTTTTCCCCAATGCAGTAATTCCTGACTTCATTCTCTTCGAGATCCAAGAGCAAAACTGGTGCTCTCTCCAAGACATACACCTTTACATGTTTAGAAATGGGGCTCCTCTTTGATGAACGGAGGGGTCGGTCTTTGTGTGTAGGCTCTGCTGCACCGCAGTTTCGGCCCAAATATAGTCCGTGCTGTAACGGCTTCCAGGTCACTGTGGGCCGTATGCACCATTGCCGTTGCACTATACTCAGCAACATTTATACAGGATATGCAGAAAATTTCTGCCAATACAGGCTTGCACAGCAGGTTGTGCCTTAATTTATTTAACTATTCTGAAGCTGCAGTTAACTGAACAGTCATAGGCTTGGCCGCAGCCAAGTCTAAGCCCAATTGTGCTTTCTGTCTCAAATAATGCTGCGTATATGTGTACCCGCAGAGAACACCTCTTCCACAATTCCACTTCTGATGCGGGCATAATTGTTGCTACGCTGAAGTGGCGTTTGCTGTGCCTTGATTGTTTTCAATTTATAACTTGATTGAAGAGTTTTGTCTTCTGAGAAGTAATGCCACGTAGATACCCCAGAAGATACGCTTCATAGTCGCCGCTCTTTGAACCTCAGATCTTATACAGCTTGAATGACTTGAATTATTTCGTTCAGGGTTACAAATTATGCTAGAACAGGCCCACAATAATGTTACGCCTTCGTTTGAATGAATGTGATACTTGACCGTTCACGTCGAGGGAAGAACGTTGATTGACGGTGAATATGAAAATTTCTACCTTCCGGGATGTTACTTCGTACAGCTCGGTCAGAACTGTTCAGAACCACCAACGTTTCAGAACAATAAGCGTACACCGTTTTCAGAATGGAAGAGAGGAGATATAAGCAGCAGGTTCCCCCAAAATATTGACAACTCATCTACCAAGCTACATGATATCACCTCTATCTTCATAGATAAGGAATGTACCAATTTTATCTTAGTTGCACAGTTCTTTGTGTGTGCTCTCATGTTTACCCTAAATACGAACTGAAATATTTTAAAACCGAGTGAGAAAGAAATTAAGCAGGTGGCACAATAGCTTACTTGGAGATTCTGTCGTCTGGGATATGAAGTCTTGTAGTCTTGTAGATCATTACTAATGCCCTGAATGAATATGCTGTTCCGATTTAGAAGCTGGAGGAAGCTGATTCTTTCGAAATCTTGGTAGCGATCAATAAAACTATACGGCATAGCGAGACAGTAATCTCCAGTCAGCAATGTGAAAACTTCAAATATCGCCGGTAGATAATTCCGTTACCGATCGTACTACCGCTATCATACTGTTCGAACAGATCCATAGATGGCAGAACACTACATGTGGAATTACTAATCTGTGCTTATGGCAAATGTAGTTGTGTTGGTGCTGCCACCTGAGGATATAATCTGAAATGCTCTAGTAGGGAAGCAAAAGTCTCGTCACCAGCGGACGTCGAAGGTGGGCTTGTGTAGCAGATGCAGGACGTGTGCGTGTGAGAGTACAAGATTGTTCCCCCCTCCCCCCGAATATCAAAACTACACGCAGAAACAAGCTCTAATGGGGGATTTCAAGTTTAGTGTCAATTCTAGCGTTGGATCCGTTTCTTCAGTGGAATTTGCAGCAAGTTCAACTACTAGCTCATCGTTGTTTTTTACCACACCTACGTCTGTGCCGGATACCATTTCATCACATCAACATTCAGCAATGCAAGATGAACTTCTGATCGAGAAATCAGCTGTAAAATCACAACAGCAGCTGTCTCCAAATTCCGACGTAAATGGAGAGCAAACAGTGAAAGCCAAAGAAGATGACAGTTCATCAGCAAATATTGGAAGTGGAATACAGACTGAAAAACCAAATGAACAGGGGCAGATTGGTCCTGCAGTGACAAGTCCCCTCCAGTTAGGAACTGGATTTAATGTATCAGAGCCTAGTCTTAATGTGATTAATTCTAGTAACACTTCCACAGCTAGCCTGTGGTCGTCAGGGCCAATGGAAGAAGGTCTGTTGCACAGTTTAAATGTACCTGCTGTAAATGGAACTCTAGCTTTTCAAAATTTTCCTCCAACTAACCCAAATCCTTTATATAATACTAATTTAGGCCCCCAAATTGCTGGATTACCCCAGTCCCAAGGGCAACCGCCTCAACGACGTGCAATTACGGCTACCCACAATTTTCCACACAATCTATCTCGTCACATTCAGCAGCAAAATCCACAGAATATGTTTATGCCCAACAAGGGCTACACATCATGGTCTAATACACAGCAGAACACATGGTCACCAGGTCCACAGAATCAAGCCAACATACAAGGTTTATCGCCATGGAATAGAGGAAGGTCTGTGCCAAACCTGAATCCGCTTCAAACGATGGGAAACATGGGGAATCTAGGTAATCGTAAACCTAGCCCAACATTCAGTCATCAACACTCAGCAATGGTTATTTCACCAATCAAGTTCCGCCGTAGTACCTCGTATCCAGGAAAAGGGCTGTTCCCTCAGCCACCAACATTTGAAATCACCAACATGGATGAAAATCGAGATGTGTTGCTCCCGTACCCGGTATGTTTGCTACATCATAGCTGTGTTATAGAAAAGCCGCTTAGTAGAATTATGATGCAGTCTATATATTGGCAGTGTTTTGGCAGGGGTGAAAACAGTTGTAAGTTGAATATATTTTTAGAGAATGGTTTTGACACCAGCAGTGAAGCAAAAAAGAAAAGAAAAGCCATTTCTTTTTGCAGTGCAGTTTAATCCTTGTGCCAAAACACTTTTAATATGTGGTGTGTTTTTTATGGCTTGCTTTTGCTGCTTTTTACATTGCCCAGTTAGTTCAGTAACATGAATGTGTTGATAATTTTGAAAGTTGCAAATGGTGTGTTTTTTAAAATGGGATGGCACCTAGAAAATAGAAACTGTTGTTGCACATGTGGTGCTGTGGTTGGCATGTGGTGGAATTCTTGTGTTGTTTAATGTTTCGTGTGTTGTGAAGTGGTTAATTATGCTAGTGTTGATTTGATCTAGACAGTTCTAGCAGACTGTTGTCAGTGCGTTTTCATATGTCAAGCCCACTTAGAACACATAACCTTACTGGCTGGCAGGTATACCTATTGATCCACTATGAACTGGCACACCACCATTCAGTATGGCTTCTTGCCTTCCTTGTATCTTGGAGGTTATTTTGTGTTCTGTGAAACACAAATTGAAGGCTTAAAGAGCTTATTTTGTATTATGAATTTGGTATCCAAATTCTATTACACTATATGTTATATGTCATTTGGTTTACTGAACTCTTTTAATCCAGGGAAGAGTTCATTAATTTTATAAGATATATATATATATATATATGAATCACTCATTTTTGTATTTATATGTACAAATGAGGATGAATCATGTGGAATGTGTAAGGAAACTGCGAATTCACTGTGAACTGCAGCACACTTTAACCTACCATCACCTAGCCATTTTGTTTCCATATTATGATCACCAAGTAGCTGTTGTCAGTAGATAACTATATATGTATTATTCATCGAATTAGAAGTACCATTCCAAAATAATTTTAAATATAGTTTTCGTCATACTAAATTTTCAGAAAATTCTGTTGCATTTTGTTTTTCACTTTTGCTACCTATACTGAATATGCAGAATACTCACTGTCTTCTGGGATGTAATGCCATGTAGTCCATAATAAGTCCACTAGTGTTTTGGAGGAATGTGCTGTGTCCATCTTTAGGGCCAAAAATAGTAGTATCCTTCTGTGGAACATCATTGGATTTCTGCTAGAATACACAGTGTTACATCATAGTACCTTTACAGAAATCCACTTTCAGTTTAGTAATGGCAATTGAAATAGTGTACTAGGCTGCTGTTAAGGTAAAGTTATCCCTGTGCTTAATTAATTAAGTACTATGCCATGAAGATGTTTGGGGAGTGGATGTATAGAACACATTTTCTTGACCTTGGCACCAGCCAGAGGTGAGTGGTCAGCTTCATGCCCCAGCTGCTTTTAACCCCAAGGAAAGAGCCTTGGTACCCATTGGATGGGAGGTTAGATGGACCCCAGGGCTAGTCTGGATGACTTGGAGGAGAGACAATTCTTGACCCTACCGGTGCTTGAATTCTGATCCCTCGGTCGTCCAGTCTATAGCCAGTTGCTATACTGACTACGCTATCCCGACTCAAAGACTGCTGTTAAGAACTTATAAATTCAGTTTTTTTTGTTAGAGATTTGTTCAAATGTATATTGAGTGGACTACATCTTCCCTTAATGTTGCCATCAGAATGTTGTTGATCTAAAAGTTGATGTAGAATGATGTAGTAATGATTTGCGTTTACTGAATTGAAAACTTCATAGCTTAACTTCATCTGATCTGATGATAGATTGCTTCATAGTTTAACGTTCTAGTGCATCTTCTGATTTAAGAACAGAAGAAAATGGTGCCGATATAAGATGTTGTCATTCTTGTTGATGCTGTGGCCTGCTGTAGAATAATGATGCAGAATGAAAATTTACTTTGGTGCAGATACAGGAAAGAGGATAAGAGTTGGTCCCGCATCCAGGGAAAGTTGCAGCAACAGAAACTGTTGAAGTATTGTGAACAGAGTTTTGTATCATTTCTTGCAACAGTGAACCAATTAAGAGAAGAGTTGTGCATACTTCCAATAGGAAAGCCCATCAGCATACACTGAAACAAATTTTACTGAGAAAAATTTGGCCCTCTAATCAGTGAAAGAATAGCGGGTAGATTCAATAAATAGTGTATCTTACCATCCTGTTGCAGTTGGTATTAGAATTTATTTTCACTTGTGTACCATCCACCATGCAACAGAGCAAGATTTAAAATTAAATCCTTTTTAAAATTTGTCACTGCATTACATTTTTTGGACTACTCGGCCATCATCAGGTGTGTTGAAATTCAGGGGAACTGCTGTGCCTTTCATGCTACCGTGATCCATGTTTTTGCATTTATAATGGAGTGAATAGCTGTCATTCTTCATGTGTGAATGTGTATGATTTCCTTTCTGCACAAATATCAACAGTATATGGCAACTGGCACTGCACAGCGTCAGTAAGAACCCTGTATTTTTTGTGATCAACCACACTGATTTTCTAGAACTGACAGTTTTGACACGTGGTTGGATGGCATATTTGACAGGAGAGTTGTGGTGTCTCGGGTGTTCAGTGTAAATATCCTGTATGCATGTATCTGTAGAAGAATCTCAATTTCTCTGGTGTGTTTGACAAGTTCTGGTTTCTCAGATGTACTTCAGGTAGTAGATGTTGTACCGGTAGTTCCCTTAGGCGAGTTTAACATGCCAGTACGACCTTCAGTCTCTGTCATGTTCAGGAAATAAGGAAATGTATTTATGTATGTTGTTTATGACTTATTGAATGACACTGTTGGTATCTAAACACTGAAATGTTGAATGGTAGCATGGTAAGTGAGTAATGAATTGAAAATATTTGGAAGGAAGTGGCCATGGCTGAATTAGAGGTACCGTCGTAGCATTTGCATGGAGGGACTGAAGAAATCGTGGAGAACCCAAATCAAGATAGACAACCTTGTTGGTATTCACACCAAGCACCTCCCAGATAACAGTCAGAAGTGTTATCACGTGAACCGACTTGCTCAGTAAGACAGTGAAGAAAGTGCAGTATATCATCTCATAAAATCCATTGGTCTGGTGCTCTCTGTTTTTCCATATATGATCTGGTTTCTAGTGGCTTTATAGTGCAGAATGAGCTATGTCCTCATACATGCATACATACATACATACATACATACATACATCAGTGACAATGAATATTCATAAGTGTGCAACTGGCACTGAATATAAAACTCGTCAAACAACAGTCACAAGACAATCACAGATAAAATTGCAAAGACATCAATTCGACCATAGTTAAAATCTAAACTGAATACCTCAATTAAATAGATATAATGTTACATATACAATTATACCAACAGGATAATTAGCAGTACATAATAATTCTCCTTCCTACTCATATATACATATGCATGCAATGAAGAACTATAGTTGTCACATCAACTCAGTTGTCTGGATGCTTGGTAACCATTTAAAGCATAAAACAACCATCACATAGGTCTGTGGCATCAAGTAAGATAACACTAGGTAGTGGGAATGTGTGTTCGTACGATTGTCAGTGCAGACACTAATGTTGTCACCAATCATTCATAGTTACTTCTGGTTTCTGTGCGGTACAGTGAACTGATACAACATTGTAAAATTAAATATGCAAATTAATTCTCAGTATTAGTTGACTTTTATGTATATGGTTATTAGATGCCAGTAGGTCCAATATTTTGGTTAAGATCATTCAGTTAACATGGTTTTAAATAACAAAATCAACTTTTTAGATCTGTTCATTGAAAAAACACATAATAATTTGGTATTTATAGGAAACCTACAGGTACTGACTTAGTTATTCACAATGACTCATGCCATCCTTATGAACATAAAAGAGCCGCAATAAATTTCCTTGTCGATCGCATGAATAAATATCCACTTTCACACAGCAACAAAAACAATGAAGAAACCAATATTAGAACAATACTTAATAATAATAATAATTACCCACAAAACACCATACAGCATATATCAAAACCCTCTGTAAAGAATAATATACACAAGAAAATTTGGACCACCGTTACCTTTTTCGGACCCGAAACTAGAACAATTAGTAAATTATTTAAGAATCCTGAAGTTGGTATCTCATTTATAACCAGGAACAGTATCAAACACTTAATGAGAATATATGAAAATACGAATGATAAGTTTAACTTAAGTGGAGTTTACAAATTACAGTGTGCAAAATGTCCACAGAAATATATAGGACAAACTGGGCATATTTCAAAATTAGATTTAAGGAACACATAAGAGATATAAAGAATGGTGGACAAAATTCCAAATTCGCCAGCACATAGTAGATACTATACACAAATATTGAACAATAGATCAAACTGTGGACATTTTGTACATCGGGAAGAGAGGACGAATGTTAGATACTCATGAAAGACTTCATATATATGAAATCAGCAAGGAAAACATCCAGTTGAACGACATTTTCACCGAAACATTTAATCCAATATTCGACACAATAATTGCAACCTACCAAATATAAACACTACCTTACCCCCATCCCACATCCACCACACCCCCACCCCCTCACCCACACAGCATTGCATAAAGACATATGTCCCAAATCAGTTGTATTCTATCTCTCCATTAAATCGGACATTTACACAACAGAGTCCCCTGTCAAATAGTAAGTAAACTACATAACCATAATAATTCAATCTATACCATATACAGTCACAAAGTAATTCAATTGTAGTTACCAATGGTATATTATTCCAGGTATGAAATATTAAATAATAACATACAACATAACAATGGGCTTCTGAACACCACATCGGCCATTGTGTATATAATATGTCCGTATAATCATTACGATTACAACTGTCAACTTCCAGATGCCATCACGTATACAACTTTTAACTATACTTTTGACTATGTAACTGGTTATTTAAGACTTCAAC